CACCTTTTGATATTAAAAGTATTGAGGCTACTATTGTTGTAGAAACTTGTGTCTTTGCTTCTATGGATTTATAAAACATGGTGACTCTGAGACATCGGTTGAATCTTTAAATATCCTGTAACATTCTGTTGTACAATTTCTTTTCATGTTCAACTGGAGGATCTTGTGTGCAAATTAAACCCGCTGCCCACAATTAACTAATAGTGCACTTATAAGTGAAAGTGCACTTCTCATTAAAGCTATTGCCAACACCTCGTTATTGAACCAACCCCCTTATTGACAATCCCTCACTCTCACCGAGTATAACAATAACAGTCCATCAAGACTATTAATCTCAACATCAAAATGTTGACATGCATTAGTAAGAATTGACTGACAGACGGACAAAACGCCACGTCAAACCTCCCCCTATCACTTGAAGGGACAAGGCAATATTTCACTGATCCATAGGAGAGGAATTCCACTGCCTTGGGGTAAAACATGACTCCAAATTAAATTCCACACTTATTCTCTCCCAGCGCTGCCTGAGGGTATCCCACGACCTCAGCAACGTGAAGGTCATTATCAGGAAGGGTTGGCCGGGAGGAAGGACATGAAGACAGGAGATGGAGAGGAGGGAATGTGGAAAGTGCGGTAAAAGGAATGAAAGAGGGATGAAAGGAAAAGAAGAGGGAGGAGAGAACAGAACGAGAAAGAGAAAGACGGGGATCCGCAGATATAAAACTGGGAAGGAGTCCTGGATTAGACGTGAGAGAAAAGCAAACTCTCATTTGAGATATGCTCTACTCATAATCATCTCTTCTTGCAGATCTGTCATTTCGCAACAGCATGTCTGGTTCTTTCTTCTCCACAGACAGGTAATCAACTCCTATCAGATCCAGACCTGCAGCTAAAGTACAGTTCCAACATAGCTTCAAATATTTGAACTAGTCGAAGGTGTGTTTGATTTAGACTGTCAGAAATATAAGCATCCTTTGAACGAGGACATACCACAAGATACGTAAGAAATATCGACTTAAATAAATCATGCTGTGCCTGTTATTCAAAATATATTTACCCATTGTTTGGCCATCTAATCCTTATAGAGTGAATTTGGGAATAGACAGATTTGTGCATGGAATAAATGATCATAAACTGCAACTACATAAACTGGACCTTGCCTCAAAACATAACAAGCACCGAGAAACAAAAGATCTGGATAATAAAAAGCAGAGCAGCTAACAGCAAAGAGGAAAGACTGTGATAAATATCGGAAGTCAGATAACAGGTCTCCCTGCCGTGTGTAATGCACCCCACAAGACGGCTTCTATCATTTCCACAGACATGGTGCGTCTTTTATAATTCTGATTTCAAAAACCATGCAGTGTGAATAATTTCTCCAACAAGACGTCAACCTCTACCGCTAGATGAAGCTTTTAAGTCAAAGTACTGAAGACATAAACCTCCAAACATAAAACAGGTAACGAAGACGTACTTTTTGTCTGTATTCCTTTTTTGTTCATCTTTCTTGTCTTAATCCCTTCTCATGATGGTGATCGTTTCCTAATTAGACACTTTTAATATATGTCCCAGTGGGGGGGCCGTTTCCAGGGACACAGCCTAGGCTGCGGCGCGGCATGTGGCTAACTGTTACAGCTAAGACATCCCCAGGTGGTTTTTCATTAACTGGTCATAAAGGAGGCTCAGTGTGGCGCCATTACAAGTGGCCTTAGATCTTCTCCACAGAGCACTCAGAGGTACTACCCAGAAATAAAAGGAGAGCAAGACAAGGAGGGAAATATGGAAGTAATATTCTGTATCTAAAGAACATTTCAATATTTAAATTTTTATTTGCATTTTCTCTCCCAGGATAAAGAGTCCAAACCCTGTCCACTGCAGTGCTTGTCACAGCGAACCCTGCTGTTTGCCGAAGGAGTGCTGCAGACAGACATGTGCTACCTCTGTGTCACATGGTGCCGCCAGCCGTTTCTTTTCACCTTGAACTCGCCAGTTCCCCACCTGCGATTGCAGCCAATTATGTTTGTGTGAACACAAAACCAAGCTGGAGGTGCTGCCGCTGGGATTTGAAGCAAGTTTACAGCCATTGTTAAATATTTAATCACTCTGTGTGTCCGGCATTAAAACGAAAGTACCACTGATCATTTGAACTTGCCGACCTTCGCCTCTCCAGATCCATACTGTAGCTACACCATATTAATACATGACAACGTGAAACACAGACATTATGTGGACTGAGTTTGGCACGGCTGTCAAGTTATCTCACACACCAAGGATTCTGAGGGAGCCAGGTCATCCATCAGCTCAATATACTGCAGCATGACAGGAAGCTACACAGAGCCATTGTCATGAAAAATGGCAAACGGCGCTATACGACAGATATATGAGGTAGAGACAATAACAGAGGTGAGCAGCACCACAATCAGTGATGGATCTTTCTCAAGTTTTTAATGAGTCACATCGCACTTCATTTGTGATATCTACAAAATGTGCGATCTGCATTATCGGAATGCATTAACAATGTAACACCAACAATAATATAAATGTATAAAGTTTTTCCAAAGTGCCGGACAAACTACTAGAGTGTAAAAGCAATAACTGTAACAAATGCTATGCTCTGCCAAAAGGTTTATTAGTTGCAGAGTTATATTACAACTCATTAGGACAGAAACAATGATATCCCTTACTATCCAGAAGGTTTTATGGCATAATCTTTCTACTATGCTGGCCGCAGCAGGGCATCCCAGACGAAGCTAACCCTGACCTCTGACCTCACTACATAGGAACGCAAGGGAATCGCTGATGTAAAACATTTGCATGCTCACTTACTAATGCAGGTGTATGTGGTGATATTTCCACATGTGACACCTGTGTATTGCTTAGGCTCCGCTCCTCTTCTAATGGGGCAGAAGTTCTCAATCCTGCACCTCTGTACCTGGAGTCCTGCTGGTTTTATGTCTTACCGGGTGCTTAATTGCATTCGCGGGGTGTCCGAGGTATAAATCACTACCCGATTAGACAGCAGGTATGAAAACCAGCAGGGCTCTGTGTCCTGACGTTGAGGACTGATGACTACTGGACCGAGGTGAGACCTAAGCACGGCTGTTTTCTACCTCATAACATAATTTCCTTACTTCTTTCCATCCTTTTTTTTATTAGTTAGACTTTAAAAATTGCCATCTGTGAAAAGAAAACAGCATTGCTCATAGATGTAACCGTTTAAAGGTCATTCAATACTGGTTAACAAAGGGTAGAAAGCTCCTCCTCCATCATTTCCCTTTGTGTTTAAACAAGAAACAATGATTGTGGAAGGCGAGAAGAGAAATGTGATTCGTATGTAGCCAGGTTTCTGATAGACTGTTGTGCCAACCTTCCTAGTTTCTTGACTGCATAAACATACTGCTGAAACGTTACTGTGACGTTACTGTGACGTTACTGTGACGTTACTGTAAGAAATGTATTAGCGGCATGTAACTGATTGAAAGATATGAAAAATGACCAACTAAAACTGGTGATGTGGAGCATTACACCGACACTGTTCTGCCCTCTCTGATAAGTGCCGAATTACCCTTTAAACTCTGTCTTTCTAGAGAGCGGGACAGTTTACAATGTTAAGATCAGATCTGGAGACCTTTGCCTCAAGATTTAGATAACACTTCTAACCTTTGGAGTTAATCAGAGTAAACACCAGCTGGTACCCAGAAGGGTACTTGAAAATACAAATTGTGTATCTGGAATATTAAAATGCTGTAGAATACGCAGAAGCGGATCATTTACATAATTTTCTCCTAGAACATTTTGTTAATACCAGAGTCAGTAACTGCTCACCCTCACGTCCAGCTGCTTCTCTGTGTTTCTTCATTAACACGTGATTTATATGCAAGTAAACGCCATCTTGTGTCACACTGGGAAAAGAAATCCAGCTTTCTCAATACAAACATTGTCTCTTTTTCAAATGTAGCACCATTGTTTGTTATGTATTTAATGATATAAACTTCAAATGCAGAATACATAATGCTAGATTAGTGATGTAATGTGAAAGTGTGAAGACAATGGTTTGAGAAATATTTCCAATTTGTTCACATTTTTATTTAATTTTGGACGCAATTATGAAACACACAGCCCTAGAATATTACAACGTCCTCCTTCGTTTCTTTTCTCTCAATCAGTTCCGTAAAGATATTCATTTTACAACCTTTATAAAAGTTGATATTCAGGTCACTCATGGAAAGTTACCTTGAAGGGCAGTAGATTTTAAATGACAATTTATTGAAACCTGCTTGTATCTGAGGTTTAGATAAGTGAGATGAGTCTCTATTGGGCATGCTTGTGCATCATTGTCTTAAGATTGATGCCCGGTGGTTATAGAAATACTCTGATTTTCACTATAACACTAAAGCATTCAATATTAAATGTACGTATAATCATGAACATAAAAGAAAAAGCATGATCTCCTTTTGTTTTAGTTTGAGGAAATACTCATAAAAGTTTGATCATGAATAAAGAGAAGAGAAGAATTATTTTGAGAACCAACTAAATTAAGTTTAGAGAAAAGAGTCACATCTGTTAATATACTGTATTATATTAGGACTATATTAGCATCAGTTCGAGGTGAAAAAAGTGGGCGAAAGAGGAACAGTAAAGATCGCGGCAAAAGGGAAAGGAACAAGGCAGAAGAATAAGAAAGTAATTATCACAAATTGTGACCTGTTTTCCCCAGCATCAATGAGCATTAGGAGGAAGAGGAATGGAAGAAAGGAAGCAGTCAAAGACAATTAACTGCTGGAAAACAGTACCCTCGGCATAGTGGGTCAGACGCTGCCGCTGCGATGGCCCATTTATGAAAGTAAAAACTTGGCTTGTAATGCTGTTTTGCTTCATCTTAGACTCCTCTGTTAAGTAGGTTTTAACGGCTTTGCAACAGAAACTTGGTGCGAGGATAAGAAAGAGTGAGACAAAGACAACTGCAGGGGATGCTGGGAGATAGAGGAAAACAGACTCACTTTAGCCAGCAGGGCCAGACGTTCTGTGGCTGATTTGAAAAACCGCCGTTTGCTGTTTTTTGTAGCGCTCCACTGTCTTCTTTTCTGTCTGAATGCAAACACACAACGTTCACACACGTACACACACACATTGCAGTGAAGAAATGAGTAACAGAGCTTGATATTTCAGCCTAATTACTATCACAGAAATGAATAAATGACTATATTGATTGCTCTTTCTACCTCATATTGTCCTGGACTCGGGGTCTCTGTCGATTCTTTGTTGTGGAAGAGGGAATTGCGTTGAGCAGTGGAGCCAACGCCTCCCATCCTGGTTCTTTCTAAAACTGCCTTTTTAAAACTCTCAGGGGCTAAACCATGCTCGGACATATTATAGGACCCGGAACCTGCACAGAGTACAGAAAGGTGAGATTATTGTGTTTATTTATATATAGTCCTTCTCCTCACTGTCTTGAGATGAATTGGTCAAAGACAACATCCAGGAGTGCTTACTTTCCCTCAAACCTGTTAGCTCTGTCCAAACCTCTACGACGATGCAAAAGGAATTTACGTAAACTTACAGTGAAGACACGACTTTAGACACATGTAGCGTAGGTGTGACTTTGGCTTAGCGTCTTTAGTTCTGCCAGTGTGTAAGTAGTGTTGGCTTCCTCTGAAAATGACACCTGCGCAGCATCAAATTTCATATGGAGACACTCATGTGTTACTGCTATTTGAATAGCTGTCTCCTCAACAATACACAAGAATGTCTGCATGTGTGAATGCCTGCTTTGGTAACAACTCAAAAACACAGAAGAACGATGATTGTTTTGAAAAACAAATTTTAAATACCATGGCTGAGAAATCCCTACAACTTAAGAAAACACTCACAAGCAATAATATATAACCACAAGCAAATGAAGAAAACATTTTCATAAATTTGATGACAATGATACAGTATGCGGATTCATAAACATGATACAAATACAGAAAGCACAAGTAAACACAGAAATACAACAATCTGCAGGGCAACGCGAATGAGAAACACTGCAAATGAGAAGCTGTATTGTATATATAATGTGCAATACAGCCTCAGCAATAAAACAGAAAATGACACTGAAACAAAGAAAATTGTACAATTTAACAATGAATTGCACTATTGATGAAACTGAGATCTCACACTGTTTTATATAATCCATTTATTTTCTCTAACTAAATTATACCCATCTGGAACATCAAAACAAATCAGAACAAAAAATGACATCTCACATTTAGAGATACCAATCAGAGACAGAACCTGACCAAATGCAGCTTACCTGAAAAACTAACTTTATGGTGCTTTATTGCTAATTACACAACAGAAAGCAAAATTGGGGGATGGATGAAGGGGCCATGTTTTTATCAAGTGTTTATCCTTAAGAGCCGTTGTAAGACATCTCAGGTTCAGCTAATCGTTGTCAGACTTAGCTAAACTTTGAGGCACATATGTTTTTTTTTTTTTTAATTAAGCCTGAATTCAAGAGGACAAACCCTTTCTTAATTCTTTCATATTTCAGTCAGGCCCAAAGTGGTTGACCGGCAGGCAGACAGACAGATAGACATTGCCATCCGTAGAGCAGTAGCGCTAGTCTGCTGCTTTGAACATCTCATTTGCATGCAGAAATTCGAAAAGCTATCTCAGAAAATCTAAACACACCAAAGTGAACTGAGAGAAAACAGAAAAGACAAAAAAGAAAGAACAAGAAAAAAATAAATGAATGAGAGAAAAGAAAAAAAGAGTAAAATGTCTACAGACAGAACAAAGTGGTGAGATGAGGAGAGAGAAATGAGATAGGGTAAACAGCACCTCCAACACAAATATAATGATGCACACGATCAGGTATGTAATGCTCTTTGACTATTTTGCTGATATCAGAGCTGATTCAGCGCTGCAACTGCTTGCCAGCTTCACTTCCAGGGTACGAATGTGTTCATCTGATTACCTATTATAACAACACAGGCAATCAGTGGACCAAAGCAGGTAAGTTGCCTTTTCAGCCAGAATTACTGAAGGTAAACTGTGTTTCAATGTAACTCCAAATTTCTCTTCAGCCTCTTTCAACTGAGCCCCTCAGCTGGTTGTTATGTAACTTGATAACTTCAGATATCAGCATGTCCACATTAACAATGTCCTGCCTACACACACACACACACACACACACACACACACACACACGCACACACACACACACAAACACTCTGAGTTAGTTCAGAGGACATTCAAACTACAGGAATGATCTTAAATTTAACCCTTTTTTTTGGAAACATGCCAATCATTGATTTGCACTTTCTACTTAAACAAAATGCAGCCTATGGAAAATTTGTTGTGGGGTAATAAAACTGGTGTTAGCAATGCACAGATGAATTATTGAGCTTTCAGTCGAAAAGGAGAAATGAGAAAAGAAGAACGAGCAGCGCAGCTGGGGGAGGAAACGGAGAGAAAAGAAGTAAATGACTGAGAGGACGAGTGTTTGGGTTAGAAATGGAGCGAGTGTTTGAAGAGAAGAATAAAAGAGGAGTAGGCGTTACAAGACATGCTGTTTCAAGGCCAAAGAAAACTGTGTTCATTCAAAGTCAAAGCTGGGGTTTGTGGCCATCTGTCAATCCAACGCTGCTCAACTGGCTTTGATGATGTCTTATTGGGCACACTTTCTTTCTCTCGAACTTAGAAACTGAGCTTTGTTTGCATTTCACATACAGTATGACAGGAAATGCCAAAGGAAGACTTTTGATCACAATGCCAAGAACCGACATGTAGTCCATGCAAGATGCCTCTGTGGGTACCTCCCTGATAGAACGTCTTGACATCTGTTAATGTGGATTAATGGTGCCACAGAGTGACGGAACAATAGAAGTAGTGTAAGTGCCCACATGTCCCTCTGGCACCAAACGAAACCCCATTTAAAACTGTTGAGATGAGTTCAGACTGGGGAGTCACATGAATTGGTAAAGAAAAGACAACACTTCGGCAATCCAAGGAAATCTATGAATTTCAGTCAAAACAAACTATCGCACTCAACCAAACCTGCCGACTGACCGTCCGTTCTTAACTCATCTCATCAGTGATGATTCTTTTTTTTTTGCCATAACATCCATCTGTACACTGATCTGGAAAATAATAAACCTGATAACTTTACTACATTCATGGGGCTAAGTTACATGTTCAATTCCACACTCACTTCCTTATAATCTGCAAGTTAAACTGAGTGGTAAATGAATCATTTTTTAAAGTTTTCTGTAATAGCCTACATACTCAGCAGTCAACAATTAAGCACTTGCCAGACATTTTCTTTTGCTTGAAATGGATAACTTTGTCTGACGTTAAGACCAACAGCTTTTTTTTCAGTGGTTGTCCTTGATTTTCTACAGTGACATCACCAGCACTTTTCTGAGAACTTGAAGCGCTCAGAGTGCACAAAAAAAAAGGCAGAACGCTCAGAAAAAAGAAGTTGGGTGCAGTGCTTTTCCTCTAGGCGGCTGCATGCGGCCGGATACGCTCTCTCCAGATTGGGACCAACTGAAAACAGACACTGGCGCTCTGAAAAAAACATAATGTGAACCTAAAAGAGGTAAAAGATAATGAGAGGAGGATCTTTATTATTCTGGCTGAAGTCCAAGGAAAAACAGTAATATGAGCAAATACCTATGATATAAACAGTGACAAAGGTATTGATATGGGCAGCTATCCAATTATTTGGGCTGGGGATATGAATATTGTTATGGATGCAGTTCCCCCATTTAGTTCCCATTTACAATGTCATGTACATTGGCAACACACTTGTATCAGATCATGCTAGGGTGACAGTAAAAAGAATCTCCCAGATGGAGATTCAATTCCTCCTTCCTGAGAGACGATGCCTTTCAGGCCATGTTAAATACTAAGATTGATCTTTTTGTTGAAACAAACCAGCAGGTACAACTTGGGAAGCAGTTAAAGCTTTCATAAGGAAATGTGTAGAAGACATTTGGATTGTTCAGATTCAGGCAAAGTTATTTCAAATCTGGGGTTTTGGTCCAGGAAACTTTTGGGTTGTTACATTAAGCAACAGGAATCCAGTCCAGTCTCAGGGGACAAAGTCAACTGACATAAATCCCACGATTAGAAAATTGTATTTGGAGGCGTAGTCTTCATACAACACTACTTTGCATTACTTTAAGGCTACATGTCATCATTCACCCATTCCCACCCATTCATACACTGATGGCCATGCAAGGTGCCACCTGCCCATCAGGAGTCTACCTAGCCATTCATACCCATGGACTAGCGGAGCCGGGGATTGAACCGCAGATCCCCTGATTGAAGGACGACCCGACCCTGCTCTACTAGTGCGCCACAGTCGCTATCTGCTCAGCCCCCAGTCGGGGGCTCGGCTCCTCTGGTCTGTATGTCGAAGAGTCCTTGGGCAACAACCTGAACCCCAATTGCTCCCGAAGGCTGTGCCACTGGTGTTAGAATTTTTGAATCTGATGTGCAGGCGGCCCCTTGTATGGCAGCCGCTAACATCAGTGTATGAATGTGTGTATGTCGTTATATTTGTCAGATGCTACAGATCTTTGGTTTTGGGCAGATGCTTATGAAATCATTTCCTCATGTTTTAATGTTGGTCATGGGACCCAGAAAGGCTTGCCGCTCTCTCCTTTACTTTTTTGTTGAGCAGTAGATTCTCTTGTTGCAGCAAATTTTAAGGACCCCAATATTCCCGGGGTCAAGGCTGGGGCCTTACACACCGACATATTTTTGCTTTTTGTTACAGACTGAGGTGAATCCGTACCTGCCCTGCTCAAAACCAACAAATCCTTTTTTAATTTGACCTTAGTATCGGGTGAATTGGACAAAGTCTTTAACTACTTTATTATTTATTATTGTTTATTTGCTATAATTTATCTTTTAGTATTGTTTAATCCTCGCCTATTATATTTTATCTATTGATCTATTTTTATTCTTGTCATTATTTTTCTTTCCTCTGCATGGAGTTGTTTAAGGATTGTATTGTTGAGATTTTATATAAAAGGTTGTGAATCACCAAGAGATAAGACGGTCTGGCAGGGACACAAGGGACTCAAGGATAAAACAACATAGGAGAGAAAAGGAAACAGTAGTAGAGGGGTGGAAATAGAAACAAAAGAGTCTTGTAACCTTAAAAATATCAAGAACAAAACAAGTAATAGAGTGAGAGATAACGGAGAAATGGAAAGGAGCGAAAAAGGGTGGGGAGAAAGGGCAAGGAGAATAGAGGAAAAGGCATGTTTTCACAAAGTGTCGGATTGATGCTTTGATCTAACTAAAATGAAGGGAGTTTCTTTCTGTATGTCTGTCCTTCGGTTTTCTCGACAGCCGTTCATCCGATCAACCTCACACTTGGAGGGTGTATTGCTGAGGACCAAGAAAGTGCAGTGTTGAGTGCAAGCTCTTGAGAAATACGGGACACAGCTATTAGTAGTGCGTTACGTACACACGGTGTAGTGTATTGAGAGGGGACCCCTATTAACTGTTACCCCGCTGAACTGCATGCTGGGTACAGCTAGCTCTCCGTCAATGTTTGTGTGAGCTCTTGCACCCAAAAGCAACTATTTCACGGCGATTTATTGCTCGGGACTCAAAGAAACGTAGCGTCGAATGTGAAGTTGTTTGAATGAGCGGTTCTCAAAAACGCTGCAAGCAGCATTACTAGAGGCCAAGCAATGAGCCCATTCCAAGCAGGCGTGTTTTCAACAGGCCCTGCACTAGTATTAGGAAATTGGGAAGTCAAAGGAGAAGAGAGAGAGAGAGACGAGAGCGGGGCTATCCAGCTCTTCCTCTTATCTTCCCCTCCCTCCTTCCTCCACTCCCTCCTTCCCTCGTTTCCTTTCCATCCATCTGCAGGGTAACGTGTCAGATGGAGCCGGACTCACGGGGAGACGAAGATCTAAGAAAACTGTCGCTCTTAGTTCTGTATGGGAGATGACTTGTGACACGTGCGCACACACTCATAGAGTTTCTCGGTGGGTGTCAGTGACGGCATCACAGGGTCGACGCACTAACACAGCATGTGGCCAGGGAAATTAGGTCAGAGCAAACTGACACACACACACACGCACACGCACAGAGATCAAATGAACCTAAGACTCTTGCATCAGTTGTTTACACCAGGAAACTACCAAGATGTTTTATGTTTCAAACATCATTAATGTAATTCCAGTGTGTGTGTATATATATGAAAATGTGGATGTGTTCATTTGCATGCATGACAGCAGTACTTAAGAACCTGTCTGTCATGTCTATATGTGTCTGCAGGTGGAATTCTCACACTCGTATGTCTGGATTTTTGGACATATGCTGTCACATTGTGCATGTGTGGCAGGGTGATAATTAAAACATCAGTCAGAGAGATTCACAGGAGGGAAGTTGTGGGGCAGTGCCACGGGGGAGTTCAGCTATTCCTGAGACGTAAAACTACACATTTTCACATCCTTCATCTCTGCTCCTCTGAGCCTCTTAATAAACTCATCTTCACCCTCATATGAAGAAACCCTCCACTCCCAGCACATCAATTAAACAAGCAAAGCCCGGCTCAGTGTCGTGGATCTGTAACTTAATCTTAAATTTTCCATATTAAAATCCAGTCTCCTTCGAGAAATTGTGAATTGAATATATGTGCCTCCCATACATTATGTCTGAGGAGTCTTTTCAATAAGATGTGATTGTTTTCTCTGTGCATAGTGCATTACGGAGAGTAACACCACAAAATCTATGGATCTAATTGAGTTTTTTCTTCGTCAGTTAAATCAATATTTGTGCATGATGATCTCCATCCCTGAATCAAGCCTGATCTGTATCACCACAGCACATGTGCTAAAGATGAATTACTTTTATGCGTAGCTATCCGTAAGCTTCACGAGGTTACAAAGCTACTTGTTACAGACAATACACGTTACTGCTGTCTCTTAAAGCTGTACTTATCTACATTCTTATTAACAATGAATCAAATTACCATGTGCAATGTGACAGGTGAATTATTACCCGACAACAAAGCTTTCCTCATTGTTTTGTTTTATGGCCCACAACATTACTGTTTGGTTCAGTGTCAGCGTTCTCATCGAACTTATAATTAAAACATCAGCAGCGAGCTGTTTGGAATATTGGATTTTTATTTATCAGTTAACCAGAAACACGTCGTCAAATGAATCCTGATGTGTTGTAAAATAGGCAACACTTTGCTAACAACTTCGCCGTATGAACTTTATATGGACGTATGTCAGTGTTGTGTTTACAGCTTGTTGCTCTCTCAGGAAGTGGCCAAATCATTAATGAATGCAGGTTTAAAAAAAGAAAAAAGCTTTGCCATATAAGCTACAGCATAAGAGGTTCCCTTTTCAGTTCAATGACAGTCCGTGCTTAGAGCAGGTGACCACACAACTGAATACTAATTTTCGACAAATGCTAATATTTACAAGGGTAAATGTTATCCTTGTTTATAGGTGATCTCAGTTGTACTTACTTAAAGTAACAGGTCTACTTCCTGGAAATACATCACTGTTGTCCTGAGTCCTTTACTGCTGATTGCATGCAGACATTAATTAAGGGCCCTACCATCTACAGCGCTTGATCTAAAGTGCATGGTGCAAGTGCATATAGGGCGTGTCCTGCTCCTAGTTAAATCTGACATAATCTGGGCACAAAGTAAGGTGCAAGGCACAAAGGGTTTGTATTTAGTCTCTCAATTAATCATAGGTTTGTTTCAACGTAACATGGATTGTTGAATGGTAAATGGATTTGTACTTGGATATTGCTTTTTTTAGTCTTCCGACCACTCAAAGCGCTTTAACACAACATGTCATTCATCCATTCACACCCATTCACACCCATTCATACATGGCAGTGGCTACTTTGGGGTTAAGTGTCTTGCCCAAAAAACACATCGACATGGACTAAACCAAGTGTTAAACCGAGTGTCATCTCCCATCCCCTTTAAAGCCAGGGGTTTTCTGTAGTGAAAATGATGTTTTTGTACAGCTAAAAACCAACAAATATGAATTGGAGTACAATATTTCATTCGATAAAAACAGGTTGTGAATTTCGGAAATTCTGCACCTATTTTCTTTTTCAATATTTAAAAATTTTTGGACAACGCTCTGGAGTTATATGCCAGTGGACGCTCTGCCTCTGCAGTCTCCCAATCCTCTGTCCCATCAACAACTCCATATACAGTATGAGCAAATGTACCGATAACCTACTTAACCGGTGTTGGCGCCACGGGGGGCATTTGGGTGCAAATAAGCTGTTGTGCCCCCACAAAACATATAATATCATACAAAACATTAAATATGGTGAACACGTCCTCTGGAGACTGCATTACACACAGACTTGCAGCCGGGCACTTCCATTGAGGCGCTGCATAATGTTCTGAGACATCAGCCATCAGCCGTTCAAAACATCATTTGTGGACTCATCATGACACATTTTGTCAGAAGAATATGTGTGGAGGAAGCCTCTGAGTGTGTGACAGAGGAAAGGTGATGCAATTAGTCTGTGGCTGCCACGGGGCGTCGCTGTTGCTGCCGGTTAGCGCTAAGCGTTGAGCAATAGAGAATGTCCGAGATTCTGATTTCCATCATATTTTGAATTATCACCTGCTGACACTGTATTTAACTAAGGAGGAGTTCAGCTGCACGTGCTGTGTGTGTAACAATCAGTTAACAGTGTGTGAGTGTACGCTCGTTTTGAACACTCCTACGTCAGCACATTTTACTATCTCAATAATGCTTACCACTGTTCTACTTTGTTGTCCTTGTTTTTATTTTTTTTGTTTATTTTTATATTCTGTGTATGTACATTGAGAGCAACGTAAAAACCGGAGTCAAACTCCTTGTATGCGTAGGCATACATGGCCAATAAAGCTGATTCTGATCCTGATGTGCCCAAATGCTGCCTCAAGATAGAAATGCGCAAACAATACGCCTGACCAAACCTCATTTTAAGACCAACACACCCATGGGAACACAGATGGGCGTAAGTATATTTGCTACTTGCGCCCATCCTTAAATCAAAACAATAGGAAGGTGAAAGCAAAAAACACCCAAGATGAAATGGACCCTGGTGGACAAACACAATGCTAAAGTTGCTTGAGAAAAAACCTGCTCCATAAGGTACAACACGATTCACCTGAAAATATATGCACAGGCTCACACACAAAGCACTAAAAGGCTTTACTGTGAACTAAGTCCAGTTCTGCTTGCATTGTACCTCGGTCTGAGAGAGGAAGGGGCACGTGACCTTTGGCAGGTTACCACTGGACTTGGCAGGCTTCTCAAACTGACTTCTGATGTAGTAATGGCCCGGACCAGGAACTCCCTGATGGGAAGCAGAAATCAAGAAATGTTCAGTAAGTACAAGGTCATATTTGTAGTCAAATGCTTCGGTAATATCACTTTTCATGTAGCCATATCACTTAGAAGACAAGGAGAGAGCATGAGGAAGTGAAAGAGACACTGAGAGGAGAAAAAGGACAGAGAGTTGCTTTGATTTCTCTCTGTTTGTGAGGTAAGTGAAGGGCACACAGAGGAGGTAAAGACTATTATGAAGATTCATTAACTAAATGAAAGACGCAGCAGAGAAAAGTCAGATGCCAGATGAGTGAGCAACTTGTAAAAACACAGACAAAGTACAGTAAGAAAAAAAATGTTTTCGCTGCAATTAAGTCATTTATGTTTAAAAAACAGACAAAGACTGGAAGAGAAACTAAACGCGTGTGCATGTGTGCTCTTTTGCGTTGTGGGAAACAACCATGTCATGTGGCAGCCCGAGACTACTGCGCCATTTCAGTGCAGTAATTACTGTAACTGGCAAACCAGACCTCACACACAGAGATGCTGACTGTGAAAAGTAAAGAAACACACACACACATTTCCACATTCTCTACTGCAGAGCCAGGACATTTTTGTATTTGTGGTAAAGCCACAAGGTTGCTGGGCCAGGGGTGGTTTAACTAGGTCCGCAGTAAAATAGCATGGATGTCTGTGGAGATTGTTAGCAGTTAGACCCACATCTTGAGGAGGAACAGTGGTGATTATCAGCACAATATGTCTTCTCCGTGCCTTACGACAGCTCAATCTTTACTCATGAACATTGACTACAATGTCTTCCTGCCAGAGACAAGTTCCTTGTCCTCAGAATTTGTAAAAGTCACATACAGACACACAGTCTGCTTTCTTTAGGTCTTTTCAGACCAAACGCAAATAATTTATGCAAATAAATTGCACGTTAATTAAAAAAATTCAAACCCATCTGTCATTATGAGCCGATGCACACAGAATCCGAAACGTTCGTTTTCTGCAGTGCAGGTTTTATTTCCTGTTTTGTTTTCTGCAAAAACAACAAGCCAACCAACCAATAAAATAATTACTTTTGCTCATACGATCAATATATTTTCAAGGATACTAATGTAATGATTCTGTTCATAACGCCACACAACAAGGGACATTTTTATTGATTGATCCATTCGGTCACGCTAACTAGTGTCTCTAACGAACTAAGGAATGATCGCAAAGACAACGAACATATAAAGACAACATCTGAGGAAGTATAGCAGTTGAACTTGCTTGTGATGGTGAGTAGCCTACAAAAGAGGGGCAAACATACTTTATTGTCAAGGTGACATATGGAGAGAGAACCATTCATTACCAAGTGCATTAGTTAATGTTTTGTTGTGGCCATTATGTGTGTCAGAAATGAGGTGTAGTCATTGTTAATGGTACAACCTGACCATATAGGATAAGAGATGGCGCACATTAATTATTATTATCATTACCAGCAATGGAAGCATATTAGTTCACTTCTTAACAAACCAACAGAGCTCCGGAGGTAGTGTGAGCTGAACGTTATCAACTGACCAATAAGCCTTGTAGTAAAGGCCATGTATCACACATAATAAACATACATACATATAATACACATATACATATAATTCAGTCCAGTCATTTGTGATGAAAACCAACGCAATGAAGCTCAGCATTTAAAGTCAACACAATAACATGCTTCTTTGGCCCCACCTAAAGGAAATGTGACCACATTTGATCTTTTCTAAACAGTATTGTACTGTACTGGCAATAACGAGCCCATTTTCAGTGTGTAGAGTTGAGTGTTGGTTTATTTTTATTTTTTTGAAACATGACAACCATGATTGTGTGACGGTGCGAACCTTTAATTTTTGGTGGCATGCACGGAATGCAAATGTACCTGTTGGCCTGGTGGGAAAGGTTTGAATGGCCAAGGTTTGAATCGTCAACCAATATTCAGTATTTTCGTTCTTCGGTGTGAAAAGGTCTTAATGATGAAAAGTATAGTATCTGGAATAAAGACGCAGAGAACAAGGATACTTTTTTTTCAGCTGTGCCAGACCTGCTCGGAGTCAAAGACATTCAAGTTGTTGTGTTTTTGCTGAATTGTGAAGTTCTTTCTGTGTGACAAGTTGAACCTTCACACCTTGCCTCTGCCATTTATAAAATATTGTGTTACAGTTTCACTCTGAGGCCCTTGACTAGAAAAAAAAAAACCTCTCTCTTTTCATCAGCCATGAGAATTCATAAGGAAGCTCCATGCTTGGCCTATTGCACTCATTTTGAAAAATTATGAATACATAATGACCGTTATTTACAAAAAATACAGTGTTATGTATTATAACTGGAAGCAAAGAATCTGTCTCAGTTGTTTGCTCAGTTTTAATACCAGTTATTTATTTTCTTCTTTTCTGTAGGAGAAATACTGCTTCCCAGTTGCTAAACATAACAACTGCTGCAAACATTGCATCATCCATGATAATGTTAACATGGAATTCACTGAATGTTTAAGATGAACTGACAGTGAACTTCCTATTTACACGGTAATATCAGGCATTGCAGTGGTACGGCTTCATCTGTGTTGCTTTTGATTGCAGAGATACATGCGATAATGGTTTGTTGAAGTCGTTTGCTCAGTCGTTGCCCTTGCCGTGTCAGAATGCCTGTTTAATGGGGAAAACCTACACACAGACTCTTAAACTCTATGGGACACCAGCAGCCCCGAGCCATTAGAGGCAGACTGTCTGCTGATCTCTAGGAACTAAAGGTATTTGTCCTGAGTGTCTCCACTGTGGGTAATGACCCATCTGGTCATTGTATGTGTGTGTGGGAGTACATGTGAGTTGAGGTGTCAGGTACTAATGATGACGTATGTAGGTGCAGCCATCACTGTAGGGGGCCCAAATACAGCATGGTGCACACATACAGGCACACACAGAAGGCCAAGTTGTTGATTCAAAATCACAGGATCATTTATAGTATGTCAGATCATGTTTTTTAGCAATTTTTCATATATTATTATATTATTATATTATTAGCCATATATTATTTAACTAGGGGTAGAACGCAATGCAATAAAATGTCATGTATAATGAACTACGCATGATAACATAGACTGAAACTAAACTAAAAGAGACGAGAGGCTGCAGAGCAAAATGTTCGAGGAAAGAGAGGATGAGAAGAGAGAGAGAGAGGTGAAGGTGCCAGTCCTTGACAGAAGGGACACGTTCACCTCTCTCTCCACAAATCCAGTCCCACATTTTTAAGACTCTGCCTCACTCACTCTACCTCGCCAACCTGGAGAAATACGGCATCACAAAAAAGCATCGCTGGGCCAGTACACTCAAGTTCATATGCAGGTGAGTAACTCCCCTCCACTCAACGTGCTCCAGTGTATCATTGAGTATTTGTATGTGAGTGGCTGACAGTCTGTGACTAAATATTATGTTCTACTGCCCTCTACGGGTGAACAGATGATGGATTGTACTAAGAGACGGAGGAGGGGTTGAATCATTTCCTTCTCTTTAATCGACTGTACATATATAAATCACGAATGAATCCAAAGTACTTACCTTGATCAGTTCTCAGTGTAAATCACTCTCTATCTCCAGCTATCATGATTCATTCTCAATCTGCAGCTTTCAAATCCTATTGTGTTAAGAATTTATCTTAATCAAAGTGCAGTGAAGAGAGAGGACAAGCTGTTTAGCTGCCAAATGGAAATGATGTCTTCTTAAGCCATAAAATACTCCTGAAACGTGGCAAAGCATTCAAATTGGAGAATGGGGGTTTTAGCGTGATTACAACAAATTTATACAATATACTAAAATAGACAGGATTTGTAAACACCTGAGGGTTAAAGGTTTAAGTAACTGTGGGGTCATGCACACAAGCTACAGCGCTATGCAACACTGTGTTACACAGAGCTGTACTGAAAGTGAATATTGGACTGACATTGATCAGGTGGCCAGGAACCTGACTCCAAGTGAATGATACCGTTGCTGTTTAAGAAAGCAAATGTCCAAGAGGCACCATACAGTGCAATAGAGTACATTACCACCCTCCCCTGGATTTGCTCAAATGTTCTCTCCAACAGAAGTGGCGCTGGGTCAGTGAAGAGACCACACCCTCACCCGGACTCCCAGAATTAGTATATGCATGTTGGATACCCTCGGAAAGACATGGCAAGATAAACAGGAGAAAGAAAACAATGCTTTTATTAAGTATTATTACGTTTGCAAACCGTGCAGACACTTCACAAGCAACACATGGTAGGGGACACTCCCCAGGTAAGTCTACCCCTAATCCCCAAGAAGTCACTGTATACAGCCACTCAGTAATGGCAGATGTATGGAGCTTTATACCAATCTTTATTCATGAGCGTGTTCTTTCAATTTGAGAACATGACGTATTGATTTCACTTCTGATTTTGTAAAGCTCTCCCTCAAAACATTCAAATAGCCGCCGCTTGCGCTTGGATTTCTGCTCAGACTGTATGCTTGAACTCAGATATGTTATCGCTCGCACAGATTTCATGAGCTCCAGCATCAGCCCTTCTCCTCACACTGCTTCCGTGTGCTTGTGAAACATCGGCTCTCAGATTTCTCCTCTGCTCACGGGGTGTTTTTCTCTGCCCACTGTTTGGGCAGATCACATATCAACAAGGTTTCATTGAGTTACATTATGATGCGTTCAGGCTCTGTTCAGTAAAGATTTGTATTTAGCAAAAATAAATTATAACGTTATCACGATGTGTTCGATGTTTGATGAGGAGATGTTTTCATAGCAATATAAAATAGATATTAAAGAGGGAATTATGACCTGTTCAACTTCCTAAGACTAAGCAGTTTAGAATACATAATTAAAAGTTATATTTACTCCATTTTTTTCTGCTTATGTAATCCATGACTCAAACCCCTGATACGATCTGAACCTGGAGTTGTGTGATCTGTTACACTCCTGGTAAATACAGAAGGCAAGGCTGAGTTCTTCCATATAGGAGAAAGAGGGTTATTTCAGTTCACAAATGTATGAGCACAGTCCCATAATCTCACAGATTGAAGTATAATTGAGTTGCATGAAGTATAATTGGGTTGCTTAGCACCATATCAACTTTAATAAGGTGAGAATATGTCAATGTTGTGCTTACAGCTTGTTGCACTGCCCCCAAGTGCACAAAAAAAATAATAATACAGGTTTAATTTCCACTTTTGGTCCCAGTGGCCCCTGTTCAGCAAGTTACATATAGGCTCACTTTAAAGGACTACCATGTCCCCCACAGGGGCAGAGCTTGATATTGATCTCAGTCCACTGAAACTTTTATCTTTTACATTTCTCATTGATGTAAGCTTAGCATGTAGAGCACCACATGGACACAAACACCCGGCAACACAAACACATACTCACCTTCTTTTCTTCTTGCTTGGGCACCAGTTCGTGGCAGCGAGGGATGATAAGCTCAGCTCTGCTGCCTTTCTGCTCCTTTTGAAGGTTCACATTCTCACAGTGCATTTCTAGTTTTCTGAAACAGACAGAGACAAACAAATAGAAGAGATACAAACAAAGGGAGAGAGAGAGAAATGTTGTTAAAAAAAACATACAAAATAGAAAAGAATAGCATAGGAGAAATGGGGAAATGCAATACACTGAATGAGGGGAGAAAAGGGAGGTGGAGGTGTGATGGGAAAGTAAATAGGAAGAGATAAACAAAGCAAAGGCAGATGGGAGATTAACTGAATGACTGGAGACAGAGTGAAGAGGAGAAAAGAAAAAAGACTGAAACAACTGCTCTGTCAGCATTTTTAAATTATTCCAATAATAAGACGTCTGCCTACACCTCGGTGTAAACAGTATGAATGCTCACATGTAAACTTTTCCTCTCTATCGCTTAGTCGATTCCTTTATGCATATCTGAGCTGGGTGTGTGCCCAGCAATGCAGAAGTGCTTAGTAGGGCACATCTTCTGTGGTCATCAATAGAGATGCTGTGTGAAAAACGTCAAACATATAAAAGGTCCTGGCTGTAGGACCAAAGCAACATTTCACTTTGGTGGAACAGCTTCTCTGTAGGAGCTCAAGAGCAATGAGTTCATGTGATTAGATGCCTTGAAACATCTAATCAAACCAACCTTAATCCATGATTCAAAATGTGAAGTAATGAAGATGTTATATTCCTAGTACATGCATTAATCCATCAAGGTCAATTCTCAATATCTCAGAATCACAGATGATGCTGCATGCTTGTTTAGTTAGCGCAGTTCCTAAGGTAATGCTAACTGCTGAAGTTCCTATAGAGAACTTAAATGTCCACCAACTATTGCTTTAACATGTTGCCACTGTTGTTCATATGCAACTAACGCTAAATACTCATTTAATACTGTACCATGATATGTAATACTTACATTTCAGGGTAATATTGTCCGGGACCCGGTCCCTCCTTCACTGTCATGTTGCCGAAGTGGACTCTTTATACTTCTGTGCAGAACTCTTTTCTGACTACAGAAAAGAGAACGAATAAGTCAGAGGAGAGACAGACACCAAGACGGATGACGTGAGGAGTGGATGAAAGAAAGGATTGGCCAGGGAGAAAGAAAGAGAAAAAGATGATAGGAGGAGAGAGAGAAGGAGATAACAAGAGGATAAATGGATGAACAAAAAAGGAGAAAACAGAATTGAAACATTCACACTTATCTGTCTACTCTTCCAGCCAGAGCTCATGAAGTTGGGGTTGAATGAAATATAAAGTTCAGCCACATGCCAGAGTATGTCAGAGATATAGGGGAGACCCTACGTCCCTTCTTATCTCTTCACAGTTTTACAGCTTGCTGCCTCTGCCTCCGGCCTTTCAGATAGGACCAGTCCACTCGCCAGCTCGACTACTGAGAGAGGCTGTGTCTGAAAATGAGTTGGCCAGGTGTCAGCAAACACATTCTGTAGATAATGTGTGAGATTTTCTCAAAAAATATAATGCAAGGGTGCTGCAAAAATAAGATTGCTGGGTTTTGAATCCCAATCCATCGTAGTTTAGTGTGCTCGCATGCTATTACTAGCTAAATAGCGCTAAATACAAAGTACAGCTCCCATTCGTTTTCAAGGTATTTGGTCATTACCAAAATTGTTGGACAAATCGCAGAGAGAGGTCAAAATGATTCAATGTCATTCATAAAGAAAGCCTGGCACTGGAGTTTTTAAACTGTGGGAGGTTTGACATTTTTAAAGACCAGACCTAACTATGAGATAACCGAATCCTTATTCTCACAATTTACTTAAATTCAAGTCTACAGTTTGTACTAAAATGAAACAGACACGTAAGAAAAAAAGCTTCCCTCACTGCATAAAAAAATCAAAGCATTGAAAATGTTTCCCTTTCTTTTCTAACTATTCCTTGACCCAGCTGTCTGTGTCTATTCTGTGAGGCAGGTTATGCGAGGATTGGCAGGGAGTCTCAAAAAGTTTTTAACTCCATGTGGTGCCTGTCTCCTTATCTCAACTTCAACAGTGACTGGAGGACGAGATCTGACGCTCTGTCCCCCTGTGATCTTCCAGTCCAGTTTTGAGGAAGGGAGATAGGAAACAAGGATGTTCAAATGCTTAAAGTTAAAAAGAAAGACATAACTGTTCTGCATCGCACACACACATACAAAGCACCGTGATGGTATCGCAGCTGGCATTGACTTCAGAGGCACAAATTGCCTATTTCTGTCAAGGAGAGCTTCTAAAAGCAAAACAAAAACACAGCAAGTGGGTATAAACATATTCATTCAACTTTAATAAAATGGAATGGCAGGCTATTTATTATTTAAATGAGACTACATTTTCTGTCGGTATGGTCGTGTGTGGGCTGGACCCCGCAGGCTGAAATTGCTGGAGTGCTCTCTACATGCACAACACAGCATGGGTTAGAATCTCATTCAGGATATGGAGAGGACGATCTTGCCCATGTTTCCATCTCACATCTTCGCCTCTGTGTAGAGACATGACCAATACTTGATTTCTGGGGCAGGGTATTTACAGACAAAGTATATTCATTTTATAGACTCTTCAAAAAAAAACACTCAACGAGCGAATTTGGCAGAATTGTGTTCATCCGTCCAGTAGAGACGAAGAGAATAAATGGAAAGGAGTATACAGCTCCCCTCTCCAGTCTATCTGTTCCCTCTATTGAATAAAGGCAAAACAAACTGGTGGCAACCAAAGCATAACTCTTACAACCGACTTTGGTGTGGGAACCACTGATTGATTGGCCAGTTAGAAAGTGCTGCAATGCATATCTTTCAAAATGTCTCTTTCTAAACTTGATTTGTGTGCTCTGTCTACATGCAAACACAGTCTGTGCTCCATATCTCCATCTGGCCAGCTGCATTATGATCATCTGAGAAATATTTAACTACACAGCCGGAACTAACAAAATATCCCCATGATGATGCTGGTTCTAAATTAGCCAAAGAGCATTATACTGCATTATGCACAGGTTATTGTCAGCAACAATATGTGCCTTTACCAATGCATCGGCTAATAACTACTCCCTATTCCAGCATTTTAGTCTGTCTCTGATTCTGAGCACTAAGTAGTATCAGTCGATGCAGTAAAGTAACACAGACGTGAACCACAAGTTCAGGGTCAGTGGATGAAACAGATTAAGATGTTTTTGTTTTTCTCAATAACATTCAGACGGAAAAAACAAAGTTACGCTCTTTTGATTTCTGCCCAATGTCTTATGATTCAAAGGTTGCCCCGGCTACTTTGAAGTTACGTCCTCAGACAACCACTTTATTCTGTCTCCCCACACTTTTGAACTCAGTCGGAGCGTGGAGGCTGGGGGAAGTGTTTGAGTTTAAAGAAAAGAGTGTGTCAGATGGAGAGACCGAGGGAGGAAGACAGACAGAGATGGAGGTCGAACTTTCAAAGGGAGGGCAACAGAAGTTGAGACAGAAAAAAAAAATAGCCGAGGATGGATGCACTGCTGATAGCCCTAAATCACAGTGCTCCGCTGTGCTTGCGCCGGTGGGTTGACACAAGCTCGGCCAACACTCAAGGACGCTGTTGACTTCCTCTGGTCATTAACAGATGAAAAATAACTTAATTGAGAGCCAGACCAGCAGGCTTGTGCATTATTTTAAGTGAATATTGTAATATAGCTTGAAGAATAATTACTAATGGCTCTCTTTGTTGGCATGTAAAATGGATGAGTATCGGTGCGCTGTGGCTTTTTTTTTTTTAAGTGGAGCTGCATTCATTAGCTATGGAAATGGATTTTGAGCCAAGTGAATGGGGTTCAGCGGTGCATTAGATCTGCCTAGCACTAATGGACCTCGCCTCGCGGGCAAAGTAAGTACACTCAGACACACACTCGTATAGACTAATGAAAGCACACATGCGTGCAAATGAACACTTCACATTCTCTGATGGATGTTCATTCAAACTTCGATGTGTGTGTGTGCATGTATCCGTCCTTACAGCAGTGGATCGTATAGGCTGGCCCCAGGGTTGTGTCCCTGGGGGGGGGGGCTGCTTGAGGAGCACACCCAGGGCGTCCTCCGTGTAGCCACAGGCCTGGCCCGGGGTAAGAATGGATGGGATATCTGACTGACGAACAAGCCGGAGACTTTTAGCCTGCAGCCACTGCGCGGAGAGTAAAAGCAAGAAATAGACAGGGAGAGAGGGGCGAGAAGTCTGGGTTTGTGATGGAAAGGATGCCCTGGCTTTCAAAGTAGCTGAGCACTGCCTGGGGCCAATAAAGTGTGAGTCTGAAGGAGGGACAAAAAGAGAAGGAGCAAGAGTAGGCAGAGGATACGAAAGAAAAAAAGAGGAAGGGAAAGGGTGGAAGAGAGAAGGAAAGACAGAAGAAGAGGTGCAGGAGTAGGAACAATACCTGCTGAGGGAACAGTCCGATCGTCAACATGCATCAAAGCTATTCAACTAACTTTCTGGAAGTCTGGAACTAGCTGGAAGTAAGGTGTGCGCGTGTGTGCGTGTGTGCGCGTGTGTGTGTGTGTGTGTGTGTGTGTGTGTGTGTGTGTGCGTGCATGCGTGTGCGTACGTGTGCGCACTATTCAGATAATTACAGCTAGAATAGAAGCAGGAGAATGTGAGCATAGTCTCTATGGGGACTCTTTCATGATTGGTCAGGTCTGGTGGTGAAAGTAACACACTAGATGAGATAAAAGCACCGAGCTCAGTGTTAACTCAAAGCAAGGGTGTACTTAGCATGTTTCACTGGTGCAGCTGGAGGCTACTGGACAGGCCACATTATCTAAAAGTGATGCAAGGTATCTAGTGAGCTAAATGATCACATTGTTTGCTTGCTTTGTAAGTGCTTTGTCTTATACTCTCCAAGCACCTGAGACATTTGATGCTTTTGTTCTGCCAAATGTGGATTTACAAAGCTTCAAGGTGCTACTATTTGTTGAATTTGATGAATAGCAATGATGCCAGGAGTGCTTGACAAAACCTCCTTGTGACTGGACACCAAACACAAAAGGATAAGCAAAGTTCCAGGGGCTGATAATGAACAGAGGTAAAATGGACACACTGTTGTCTTTAGGCTTTAGTCTGACTGTCAAGACTCTCTCTGTCTGGTGTCTTTTTGGTCCTCAATATCTCCATCATGATCGTGAACTTGTTGTGGACAAACGATCTACCTTTCCATTGCTTTGCCTCTTATATCCAAAGAATGCCCTTACTGAATGTGATACGTTTTCAGATGTTATAGCAAATACACCAGGTGGTGTTCTTTTTATAAGAACAATAGAAAAGTGACTGTTTGGACAAATGTCTAGGGCAGGGGTCTTCAACGTTTTTCAGGCCAAGGACCCCCAAACTGATAGAAAGATGGAGCAGGGACCCCCGACTATATATATATATATATTGTATAAAATTGAGTTTTATATTAAACTGGGCCTAGTGCCATGTATAAACATACCTCTTTATTGTGCATTCAATACTAAGCTATTCAAATAATACACAGGTTCATATAGTCATGTTTTTATTTTAAACATGTGCAAGGTACAGTGAGTAGGGTGGCCGTGCCACTGCCATTTATAAACATACCTTGTCAGCTGATACCAATGCCAACATTGTCTGTCAATTGCATGATCATCATGATCATCATGCACACAAGCTATTCATGCGGAAACGAAAATGAGTGATGGCCTATTAGTGCCACTGCTATGCATAAACATACCTTTTATCGTGCATACAATACTGAACTAATAATAATGGACAGATTCATATTTGGGGGGAAAAAAATAAAAAAATCTTTTTTTTTAAATTGTCTAATTAACCAAAAATTTCGCGGACCCCCTGCAGTACCCCTAGAGGTCGCGGACCCCATGTTGAAGACCTCTGGTTTCCCTCAAAGTTTTTAAAATAGCAGCATCAAATTCCCGTTGATTGGTGTTGCGCGGTCTGCAGATGGTGGATCTGCCAAAGATAGGGGCTGAGGTGCTGGCAAGGTGCTGTCTGCAGGTGTTGGCAGTCACAACGTTTGGAGGAGGCATTGTTATTCTTATCTTTTGCTTCGCACAGATACAGCACACAGTGCTGAGGAGAGTTTTACATTTTACGGTATCTTTAATTTTTGTATGTGTTAAAATAAAATGTGTTAACTGTGTGTGCCGGTGTGTGTGTAGTGCTAATGGTACATGAGACACCTGGATAGTGGGTAGAGGGAAAAGGTGTCTTCTCACCAGCACACGGCTCAATATAAGGCTAATAATACATGGGATAAAGCCTTTGATTGTTAAGAGTAGAGATATGCAAACCAACAGTAGGCTACAACAGTAAAGTGCCTGCACACCTAAGCTCAATGCCTTTCTTTTTTCTCTTCGGGTATTAGATGACTTTTTTATCCATGGTGGATCTTGCCCAGGTCAAAGTAAGAGAGACGTTTTCCTCATATACCGCATACAAGTCAACATATTGTGATGAAAAGCATAATAAGCTGGAGGGAGAAAATCTGTAGTAAGTTTACTTTGCCCAAATAACTCCGCCCACATGCCTACTATTTTCCTGCTATAAATAAATTATATTACTAGTATTGGTTTTGCTCCCATATTTGGGAAATCCATCTAAAATTGATTTTCACCGACATCAAAATGTTTAACAATTAGAGTAGCATATTTTTATATTAATCTCATGTATATATTTGAATGGTTAGTGTTGTCAAGGTGCAACAATAGCACACAGAAAAACGTATTTATCAAACACATTTTAGCAGCACAGCTTGCTTGTTTCTCGAGTAAAAACAACTGTAACTGCATTTGGCCACTCTCGTCACCACTCCTGTTGTCATTATAGTCTTGACCTACTTTCCCCTGCACTATTACCCTGTCTCACAATGCAGTTAAGATACGGATAATGAGAACTCAGGGGTAAACCATCCAAGGAGCAAGTATACCTCTCTGGAGCGTCTTCATTTTAAACTTCCTGCCGTGTCTCATGAGCATCGCGTTTTGTCTGCCTAATGGTATTCGATTTGACAGATGTTTTTAATCCCCAAGAGGAGAACTTAGTCAGACAACAGGGCACCGAATAACTTAGCAGGAGCAATAACAACCATACACACAGTGGAGACAAATATAGCTTTTTATTAATGACAAGATATCTGTACCAGTAGTGGGCAACTTCTTACTGATGTGCTAAATTAGAGTAACATCTATACATCAGAACATGTCATAAAGATATTGATAATATTATAGTTCAAAACGTATGTGAAATATTATGTTTATCTATTTTGGTTAGCAGTTTAATTGCCTAGCTGTAGACACCGATGAAGGGAGACTGAATGCTGAGTAACATGTTTTTGTCCAAACATTATAGAGTTGATATGACTTTTTGTATTTATTCATTTTCTACTTGGTGTGCAAGAAACCAGAACACATCTTGGAGCTTTCATTAAGGCTAAATGCTGTATTGAGTAAAGAGAGTCAGGGAGACCAGTGAGACTACTTCACCACTGGGGGGCAGCAGCGAGCTTCAGATGAGACTATCCTGCCTCAAATTCGCATTAAAACAAACGATGCTTTTAAAGACAAACGGAAATTTTTAAACAGAGAGGTATGACACCTAGATACAAGCGTTTCAAAAGGCAAACAGATGGATATTACATGTCATAAATATAAATGAATTTATTTGGTACTCTAAATACCAATTAGGATACTGATATCATGTTAATAATGCCACTGCAGCAACGAGTAGCTCAAACTGTCGTTGTTTTACTGATACAATAAAGCAGCAGTAGTTCAACCGACTGCTCATCTCACACGAAATGCTAATTTCGGATACGGAAGGAGTAGTCCGTGAAGGCACCACGGGTTATCACAGCGGAGCGTCTCATCGCCTTCAAGGTGTCTCTCTGGGCAGCTAACTCGCAGTCTCACCTCGCGTTTGATTGAACCCTTTTTGATACACATTTCTGCTTAATATCTCGGGACTTTCCGCGCCATGAAGGGAATCAGGGTTTTCTTGGTGCTTTCCGCGTCTCTGCTGAACACAGCCGAAGCGGCCAGGAGCAAGACGAGCAACCAGAACAGCTTCCGACGGGCAGCTAACGGCATCTACCAGACTCTGAGTGGTGTCTTCGGAGAGGACAACATCAGAGGGCTGTACAAGGTGAGTGTGGGACATGCGGATGTGAAGGTAACACAGCTCGTTTTGTTTCAGCGGCTCGTAGAAGCTAGCAGACGAGGCGGTTGTGTGGTCTGACTTTGGGGCCTGGCCAACAATTTCACGGATGCCATTTTGAAAAATTGGCCATTATCTCATATTTTATCCGTCTGTAGAAGATGTCAGTTAATATAGCGTTAACGTGCACAGCGAAAGAAAATGCGTTTTTATTCAGCCACGCTTAAATTTCTTAATTTGTTGTGTATCCAATTTTTTCATTCATTGTTCAGAGTTCACCGGCAAGTGCATCAGATATCAGATATCAGCTCACAGCTGACAGGAAGCCCCGTTGGCCCAGGACATTTGCACTTCCTCTTCACATCTTCAATTAGTAGAAAGCTGCTCTTGCTGGGTAAACTCATTACCCTGTACTCTGGCATTGGTTCAGATGCACTTCCTGTATTTTGAATCCTTATTTTATTTCCTGTATGGGGCCCGCCACAGTGACATATGTGAGGCTATGCACGTGACTAGTAACCGTCTAACTGCACAGAGCAGATGTTGGCTTTTATCGAAATTAATAAATAACCATTGACATATACCCGTGCGGATTTTAAAACGTATAATGAAAGCCTCGTGTCTCAGTTTGTCTGCTTTACTGATAACAACATGCAAACTGAGTGGCTGATAAGTTATGAAGGCGATCAGTTGCATACAATGCATCAAACTCCTCTTCTTGTGACTGGTCTACAAAGCCGAGGCTGACATAATCCTCACAGATGTAGTTTAGCTTATTCTGTAGTTTGTCTGCGTTTGAACTGATGCCTTCCAAGTGACATTGAATAGACCAAATACAAGTGGAGCCTATATCTACGATGAGCTGTTAAAAAGGGCTATTTATGTTTTATTTATAGCCAACTAGGCCATAAACGGAGTCAGCGAGATACGCATGTAATGCTGTACATGTACATTGTTCAAAAGACTTTTAATCACAAGATTGAAAGCTGTTCTGTCGCTTCCCCAAATTTGTAATGTCAAGTTTTAATTCAGTCCATTCCATCTTGTAGGATTCAAAAGAAACACCACAACATAGGTAGCAGCTCGAGTAGATGATTGTTGTGCAACTCTACTGACTAAAGCTTCTACCACAGATCTTTTCATTCTTTGGTTTACTAAAAGTCTCGTCAATTACACAGTCTTACCCGTCTCTCTGCATTTCTGTTTGGTTCTGTAGTTTTTCTCCAAAACGACGGAGCGGTTTGTCCATGGAGTGGACTCGTTTCTCGACACCATCTGGAAGATCTGGTCAGATTTGCTGGATGTGATGGGCATCGAGTGTAAGTTTTTAAATGTGTCATGGCATTTCTAACAAAAGAGAGAAAGAGAGTGACTTATTGCAAGACTGCCTCCTCTTCTGTCTCCCCTCTGTAGCCTCAAACCTCAGCCACTACTTCAGCACCACGTCTCTCACCAACTCTCCGGCACGCGCCCTGCTCCTGGTGGCCGCTGTGCTTGTGGCCTACTGGTTCCTCTCCATGTTCCTGGGGGGGTTCTTCTACTTGCTGCACGCCGTGTTCGGGCGCTTCTTCTGGCTGGCCCGCGTCACGCTCTTCACCCTGTCCTGCCTCTACATCCTGCAGAAGTTCGAGGGCGACCCCGAGCGCGTGGTGCTGCCGCTCTGCTTCATCATGGTGGTGTACTTCATGACGGGGCCCGTCGGAGCGTACTGGCGTCGGGGCGGTGGGTCCGGTTCACTGGAAGAGAAAATCGACCACCTGGACACTCAGATCAGGCTGCTGAACATCCGGCTGAGCCGCGTCATAGATGGCCTGGAGTGCACCGGGGACCAGTAGGTAGCGGGGGGGATGAGGGGGAGGAGTTATTGTTTCCTGTGCACATCTGCAGCAACACAACTACTGGGTATTTACAACGCTATTGTCAGATGGGGGACAAAACTAGTTTTGTAAAACAGTATTTTAACTGCTTGAGTTGATTTTAGTTACAGAATACCTAAAAAAAACAAAAAAACAAAGAGTCCTCAGAGGTGTGGACCGTTGACAACCAAACATTTGATTTCCTTTGTCATGTTTGTCTCGAGGCTTTAATTGAAAGGCTTTTGCTACATTTGTGAGGAAGTTATCAGAGAGACGTTCGTGGTTTTCAAAATGCTGGCCTAGTTCTACACCTCAACTACGTTTTGGGAAAAACTCCCAATTTGGGGTTTTAAGTTTTGGTGTTGGGATTAAGCATCGTCAATGCTTTTGCTAAATGAAGTCATATTTTATGTTTTGTTTTTTTCTATCCTTGTGAATACCATGGGGGGTTACAGTTCTTACAAAGGTTTGTCCACAAACAGTTGTTCCCCTTTTTGAAACTATTGAAATAGGAAAGGGGCGGGGAGTGTGACGCAGGGGGGGCCGATACAAACATTGTATTTCAATTATGTAAAAAAAATCCTCAAGATGTTGTTCATGGTACGACTTATTTATTCGTGTGGATCTAGTTTGTTTCACTAGGTCACCGTCCCGCAGTGGCAATAGTTCATCGGGACCTCTTTTTCATTCTGTGTTTGAGCAAATGCATCTGGGTGACTTACTTGAATGTGTGTGCAAATGCATTATTTTGTGTGTGTGTGTGAAATGAAAAGCACTGATTAAGAGAAAATGCAGACAGGCAGCAATATCTCAGGGACTCAACCAACACACACATATAGAATTGGAAAAGAGAAATCGAGTATATTAAAATCATGTCTTGGTCTCTTTGAGTCGCTTAACAAGTTTTTTTCAGATATGGTTTGAGATCTGTCTCGGTAACTCGGTGCAGTTTGTGTTCTTGTATCATGTTGAAATTGCACAGTGGTCTATAAAGGCTTAAAGTGTGTCTTAATACATCTTCTGATGAGGACTTGAGTGTAAACGCGATCAATATCTCAACTCGATTACAGATTGAATTTGGTCGAGTGCCTTTTGAATCTGTGGCAAACATACAAGCGCACACTGTTCAACCCCGTCGCACCCTGCTCTGGACATTTGAAGCTGTACATTATTTTAGTTTTATGTTAGTATGTGGTCAGTAATAATTCCCAGTAACTTAATGAGATGTTTATGATTCATACAGTTTATCATGAAAGCTGTGCTCGGTGTGCATTACTGTAGCCTGTTACTTTGATGGGCTTTTTAATCTTTTCTTATTATTTCGGACAATTTTTGTTTTCTCTTCATATTCCCCTTGGCACAGCTTTTTGTCATTTAAATTGATAGAATCTAGACACTGTCAACAAATGTTTTTATACAAATGACCCTAATGCTGTGCACATTTGGGAGGGGGAACGTTACCTTTAGTGTCACATGAGAAAGATGGACTACAGAAGTCAGTAATGTTGCAGAGTGGTTGAAATCATCAGAGGCTACTTATCTAGTTCATGACATTACTGAGGCCAAAGAACCAACCAGTATTTATACACTTTAGACACTCACGTTAACAAAATCCTCAGCAGTATGTGTGAGATGCATTCATGCCCCAGACGGTGTTGCGTCAACAAACTAGTTCAATATTTTGATTGAAATGATATTTCCCCAGCCAGTTCTCTCCCCCCCCCCCCCCCCCCCCCCCCCCCACACACACACACACACAGCTAGAGTAATCTGAACCTTCCTGCGTGACGTTTTTTCTTTACATTACGTACGTGTTCTTAACTGCCTTGGTAGAGAACCCTTCTGAAATGTGTCGTGTGATGAGTTAGTCAGAAGTTAATTATATTAGTGAATTGTTATATAATGAGTCTTATTTTTCTGTATTACGGTCAACATTGTCACTGATGACTTTAGACCGAATCCTCACACATGCTCTGTTTCACATTACAAGACCGAACTGGACTCAAATCCCCCTGAATTCATCTCGGACATGTTTGGGGGAATCTTAGACTGGAAATGATTTAAAGCAGACTTGAAAGAGGAGCATGACGCCAGTGACGTGTGTATGTTTCACTAATGACAGAATATGTGCTTTTATGAAGGTGTTGATTGAGTAGTAGTCGTGTATGTTATTGAATAACGGTTTCCACCCAGTTTCCAATTGGATCACGGCATTAACATTTGAGTTAGAATTCAAAAACGATTCAGGATTTTGAGGGAAACTGAAGGACGAGGAGCGAAACTGTGTCTTAAACTTGTGCGCACACGTTCTCTCACACAAACGTTTGTGAGACAAAAACCAGCTTAAGAACACAAACTGTATACTTAAAGTTGCCACCAGCTAGGCATGTATGTACCACTTGTCATCACCACTCGGATGATGAAAGATGCCGGTGGATCTTTTTCTCTGCACCGGATTGAATGCTACATTCAGATTGTTGAAGCTGCTTGCTGATTGGCTAATAACTCCATAAATGTACTGTATCCTACTTCTTCCTATTATTCCATGTCGCCTGCTTTTTTTTATAACATGCTGTGCCGATAATGTATATGTTTTTGTTTAATTTAAGGCTATTATGTGCATCTTTTTTTATTTCATCGATATATTTAGACTTTTTTTTTGTATCTGAATATTTCTGTACTTCAGTGATTGGCAAGCTGCTGGTGTCTGTGTGTGAATGTGTCTTTATCAAAACCTGGTGATGGATAAATGGCTCTTTTTTTTTTCTTTTTTTTTCTCAGTGAAAATGAGGTCCTGATTTGAATAAATTAAACACCACAGTATGACAAAGTCTTCTGCTTTCTGATTCAGTAATGATATTGAGATGTGATATCCCTGCAATGTGTGAATGTGTTCCTTTGTTATGTTGTGATGAGAATTACTTCAGGATAAAACTCAGCAGTCAAATGTGTCACCAGTCTGTTTACAACTACACCAGCATCACAGGAATCAGTTTGAACTAATACAAGTGTGGTTTGAGACGAAATATCCATTCGATTTAAATATTTCCTTTTATTTGATGAATCACAATATTACATTTTATTTTGTAGAACTTGGTAAAAACTTTATAACGACATTTCTGGCACTAGATGGCGCTGATACATCTTTGGTGTTCCTAAAAGCCCGTTCTGGAATAGATCCTCATTTCTAACAGTTTACTTGACAAAAACTAAATCTAACAAAAATCTTTATCTTGAAGAGCCTTAAAAGGAATGAAATGAGTCTCAGCTGTGCCATGAGTTTTGCTGTGTACACAATAAAAAAAAAAAATACCTTAAATGCTTTTACATAAATGCACACTCTTGATATTAGCTGGTCCTCTTAACTTGAATTACAGATGACAAACAGTTGTGAAAATCGTGGGCAGGGGAAGTCCATTCTGATAACAGATTGTCATGGTGCCCTTGAGCAAAACAATTAACCCCAAGGAGCTCCAGCAGCTAGAACAGAAAAGGTAAGTTGTACACAGCAGCTTTCAGGTGGCGTTTCTGCTAGATCTTTACATACTAATGATTTGTACTGGGACACACCTCTCTCAGAGTAAGTTATTTGGTTCATCTGTAGTACTCTACTGAATGAGATGAAGCAAGCATTCAAGTATGTAACAGGCATATTAGATTTAAGTCTGTGACCAAACAGCTCAGCTGACGAAAGGAGACACAACCCAGATTTACTCCTCAGACATTATAAAATGATTTATGTATTGCTGAATTATATTGTATCTAACAGATAAGATCAACTGGATGTTTCCAGCGACAAATACCCAAACAGTAAATTCTCATGAAATGAAATGTCTGATGACCTTTGGTTCCCTACTGATGGTAGTGTTCCCTAAATTTTAGAAAAAGAATGAGTTATAGAATGACAAAGCCACACATCACAGTTAACTGAGGTTCCACTGGAATTGCGTCTCGTCTGCCTAGAAGTCAACAAACCAATTTAAACCTTCAGATTAATATCCACGAGTGCATCTGGAATCACCTGCGATTACATTAACGTGGAAACTGACTTTGATCCACATCCTAACCTGTCCGTTTTGTTCTATTTGAAGATAATTCTCTAAATGGAATTGGACGATACAGCAGCAACTGTCTTTGGTGGAGACGGTGAAATGATTACGATGCTGAAACTGAAAGTAATCAGTATTAAATGTACACGTATATAGATAATAGAGTAAGAGTGGTTTAACTCATCTTTGGACAATAATCCGTAAAGGTAGGAATGTGATGTGTGACTTCAGGCTGCCAATAGTAACATGAGCAGTTGCTGGCTAAACTACAGCTAATCCTAACAAAGAAGTTCAGCATCTGTTAGAAGCGCAGTAGCGACAGTATATTGAAAAAGTCGAACGCCTCAATCGATCTTAACTGGTGGCAGGTTTTATGTTTACGGGTCAAAGAGCAGCTTTCTTTTTGTATTTGCAATATATTCTAATCCCATTTGTTTATTCAAACAATACTTTATTAAAAGGGAATTACTCAGGTTTTTTTTGCATAGTCATTTTCAAATTGAATGTAGTGAATATCGGCACCAACATCAGCCTAGGCAGCTTCAGTTCAAAAATATCAGAATCTGTATCTTTAAAAACCATTATGAAATGAATTCTACCTAAAGAACAAAGCCAGTGTTAATACAGTGTTGTGTCGTAGATTCTCATTTGGTCTAACACAAAGGTTAAAGGTACAGAACAAACTAATCAACGGTTACGTTATCAACATACACGTATACTCCATTACTCTGGGTATAAAAATAACTTTCCACAAACAAGACTGCAAGTCTGACTGCATCTACTACATTTTATCCAGGAAGAAAATACACACCTGACTAAATAGCTGACTTTCCTGCTCGAAGAGTGCTTCCACATTTTCAACACGGACTCCAGACGCATCAGCATGTCCTCCAAACATGTATTCAGCCCCACCACTAACAGTAATACAACATGTGCATGAAGCGTCTCGTCAGATCCACTGAGCCGAAGCAGCGTATTAAACTGAGAGCGATCCCCGGTTATTCTGGTTTGGTCCATGAAGGCAGCAATCAAAGCAGGATCATTTTGTTTAAAGTCCTTTGAGGGGCAATATGACTTACAGACCAGTCTCCCAGAAGAGCAGCTGTGACGGGCTTCCAGGTGGCTTTGCTGGACAAAAGGTGCATCCTCCAAACATACAGTCTAGTAAAGCAAAAATGTCAATAGAAATGTGTAAAATAGTAAAAAAAGAAAACAAAAGGACAGACATGACGTCCTAATCCAGTGATCCGCTCACTGAGTAGCTGGCTGTTCACAGGTCAGCGTTACGAGTCACACCAGGCTCCTCCGGGCGGTCAGAAGCGTGCCACAACTTTTAAGTCCATGCCACCGACTCCACCGGACTCTGCCCCGGATCCGTGGCCCAGCTGGATGTGATGGAGGCCGTTGTTGAAGCTGGCACACAGCAGATTGGTGGAGTCAGTGGGGGCCAGACCAAGCAGTGGACCAGCACCATCCAGAAACAACGTCCCTAAACAGACTGAACAGAGGATGGCGGAGGGAGGGTTGGATGAGAGTTAGCGTAAAAAGACTACACACCCAAAACAATGACGGTAAATGTGCCTGTGTGTGTGTGTGTGTGTGTGTGTGTGTGTATGTATTTTCTTCTTTCTGTAAATCAATGTTTCCATCCATTAGTGGGTGTTACCTGCTGTGTTCTGATCCCAGATCTTGACGGAGCTGTCATGGGAGGATGTAGCTACCTGAGCTGCGCCACCAGGAGCCGTAGGCAGAAACATACAGCAGGCGGCGGTCTGCATATGACCTCTGTACTCCACTACTTTACAGCCGGGCTGACGCAGGTCCCAGAGCTGATAACACAGACACAACTCCACTGAGAACAAATGGCAATGTCAGAAGCTTCATGACTATCAACATAAGACAGTGGATGAATCGGGGATTGCGCCAAGTGTCACCTTAGAGTTTGTTGAAATCAACAATAATTATATTGTATTACAGTTATAATATTACTAAATGAACACAACTATTAAATATACATACGAATATACACTCAAAAGTTACAATCCTCAAAACAAACAGGGAAAGATGACATCCACCCACCTTAAAATTCACAAGGATGTCTCGACATAAAATAAGATATTAATCAAATGCAAGATGATAAAACATTTCAAAGGCTCTGAATCTGAACAGTCACAATTAAAGGTAATCTTAAATTATCTGGCAGTAGTGTAATAAAACGTATCAATGCCTGACCAGCTATTCTCAAACAGCGGCCTCAGAGCGCCACCTAGTGGGCCGTGGTACCACCAATTGATCAGATTAAATAAAACATTTTTTTTTTTGTTAATATACAATTTTATTATTTTTGATTTTTAACTAGCTTAAGCTCGTTATCTCAATAAATCACATAAATAAAGGACGTCAAATGATAACACATCACCACGCGTCATCAGGTAAAGACACACATGGGAGCTCGCTAATGTCTCCTCTGGGCAGAGACACGAAATGGATCGGTTGTTGAAACTAAAAAAGCAATGTGGAAGACAACCCTGTGCCAGTAAAAGCTCTAAAGCCTGTGGTGAGGAAATATGACCCTGAATACATTACATTTAGATTCATAATGGCAGGCAGTGATGGGTAAGAGGCTCAATTATTATATTATATATTATTATTATCAAGCTGACAGTAGCTTAACACATAATGACAGCCCACAACCGTTGCTCTGAAGCATTTGATGTGCTTTACTGTTTACCAGACTGGACTGGACAACAGAACCACTGGTAATTACTCAAATAGGATTAACTTCATATTTGACTCGTCTCTTGCTACTTTTAGAAGACACAGATTAGACAGGAAACTGTTCTAGCTGGAGGCTCAAGCTGCAAGCTGGGGGGGAGTCAAACTCGCAAGGGAAACATTCAGAGACCATCTGCACAGGGGCAATGTGCAAGTGTGGTTTTGTTTGAGAGGAAATGGAAAAGAACTGGTATTAAGTGATTAGCCACCGCTCTCCCTGCTTTTTGAGCGCATGATGTATACGATAATAAACATATTGTTTATTGCAGATGATGTTTGTCTTTACATCGACATCTCTACAACCACACAAACTCCTCCAGTGGTCTCACCGTGGCTTCGCAGCCCTGGCTTCCAGAGCCATTGCTACTGGACATCAAGTAGTTTCCGTTTGGAGAAACATCACAGTGGGTCTGGATGTATTGCTTGGCTGGAAAAGTATTGGTCACCTGCCATGCCCGGCTGTCCCACACCCTGTGCACATACACAAAAACATCACTGTAGAAATACACTAGTGCAAGCTTTTTTTTTTATCCGAAACGTAAAAACAAAGACAGCGTTTTTTCTTGGTATTGTTTTCCAACAAATACTGATTCAATTGAACGTGTGGCTATTACCTCATCATCATCTGATGATGATGACCGCATATACAGAAGAAGTTTTACAGTATACCCATGCTCCGTGTCTCGTTATAAACGTAGAGGTGGAATAAACGGTGTTCTAATTGGCTGCTCATTTGAACCTTGTTGGGGTAGCAGAAGTCAATCCCTCAGCAGTAAACACCTGTCTGTAAACAGTTGCATACGTTAATGTGTTTTTACACTGAATAACACCTATTTTGCTGTACGATTCCTATGAAGTACAGACCGGTCAGGATATTTCACGTTACCGACTGCAAACAAAGTGGATATCTAATGATTGCACATGGCACATGTGCATCTACAGTAAGAGACTTGCAGTCGCAAATATTTCTGTACCTTATGGTCTTATCCTCGGAGGTCTGGACTACAGAGGAGCTGCCTGGCACCCAGCACACATGAGTCACCTGGACAGAGAAGAAAGGACAGTGGAAAAGTGTAAAGCCTGAAGGGCATGAACTCAGACGTAACAGGCTGAATGGCTTATTGATTTGATTCTTTTTCTTATACGCTCAGGTACACACCTAAGGCAATCCAGCGTGCTTGAAACAATTCTTGGTACAAGGTTGTGTGCACACAAAAGCACATACTGTTATTTCTCACCAGGTTTCTAGAAATGTTGTGTCTCTGTTCACATTTTGCAGATTCTATATCCCACAGGCACATCCAGTTGTCACGAGAACCGGTGCACAGCTTTCTCCCCTCTACAAATCACAATAAAAGCAGTTCCATATGATCAGTGCAGATCAGTAATCCTAAATCAATGACAATGTGCAGGCAAACGCCTCTAAAACACCAGGACTAGTTTAATATTTCACTTGAAAGTTAACATGAACTTGCATTGTTCTCGTTGCTAAACTGAGATAATAAACTTATAGTCCAGTCAAGTGAAAATATGCATCACCGCTTGCATTCAGGACATGTGGCAGATCGATATTTTACTTGCTGCTTGTAGGAGCATCTTGACTGACCGAGACATGAGATCAGTTCAAAGATATTCTCCTCTGCCTTCAACTCTTTCACATCTCAAATCCCATCTATACCCTGTGTGTGTGTGTGTGTGTGTGTGTGTACCAGGGCTGATGGCTAGTCCATTGACCACCAATTCATGCCCGCAAAACTCCTGAATAGGTTCGTCCCCCTGGTTTAGGTCCCACATCAGAACAGTCTTGTCCCGTGAGGCACTAAAGATCCATGTACTGCCTGGATAGCACAGCACCTGGCAGAATGAAGAGGACACATTGTGTGAGACGTGTGACAGCGCTGAGCAGCATCACACCTTCATCAGTTTGCACACGCACAGTATGGACGTTACCTTGGTAACCTCTCGGTTGTGACCCTGGAAGGACTGGCACATCCGGCCTTGTTTCCAGTCATACACCACCACAGCCTACAGATGTGGACGCACACACACACACACACACACATACATACACAAACATGTGCAAACAGTAATGTTTATTATTTATCTAATGTGGACAGGAAGATGTGGGGATCTAAACACCAACCCTGTGATCCATGACACTCTGTACCATCTAATTGAAAATGTGAAGTATCTTTTTCTTGCGTTAGGCATTCTTATGATCTTTAAACTAGCAACCTGGTTAACTTATCAACTGAACCTGTCTAAAACCCATCAGCAAATTAATAATGTCATTAAAATGCTATTATTTTGGAGTAATCTACTGGTGCATAGAATAATTTACCTGGTCACTCCCACCAGAAACACACAAATCTGGGCTAAGATTGGTGACAGTGTTGATGGAGCCTTGATGGGCAGGTTCATACTGCATCACCTGACTGTCGAAGGTATTATCGGGCTTCTCCCCCTGAGACGCCCTGCACAGAAAACACCAACAGAAAAAAAATCACAAATGTAACATTTGCCAATTGTAGCCTGTAGTATATCTATCTCTGTATTATTCTCATATTATGTTCCTTTACAGGCTGCACTGTTAAAGCTCCTCTGCTTCAGATTAATGATTAAAATGAAACTATCCTCAATAAATGAATGTCAGCGTATTTGTTGATGACACCTCCCATGTGGACGTACAACAAAGTAAACATACTAACACTACATTGTATGTACTTAGTACTGGTATCTGCCACTTCATACAAATGGGAGTAAACTCCACAGAGAAAAAAATAATGTTCCCAAATATTTATTAAATTGTCCATTTTACATTCCATTTTTATGTCCCAGGGGCCGTCTCACTACTGTCCACAACCTATGTAGTCATTGCCTGACTTTAAAAAAAAATTGCATCTGTGAGTAGCTGCTGTGCACTGTATTGTAGAAAGTGATCAAAACCGAACCCAAAAGACCTTACCAGCATATACTGACATGTTTGATAGTACTTTGTTCTTATTTTTCTCTCGTGTGAACGGACTACATTCTGAAATCCTGTCTCTAATTAGTATGTAGTACATACAAGGACACAGACACTGTGTCAGTAGCGTGCATGTCTCACCTGTAGAGGTCCGACCTCTTGCGAAACTTGCTTTGTAGTTTGCCCATGTCTGCCAGGAACCTGCAGCCACACCGACACACAGAGAGAAATATACTAACAAACCAGAACAGAGACCATTGTTGCATCCATAAATGTCTATCCTTGCCTTTAGTGAGCGGTGGGGACGATAACGGGGCAGCAGATCAAGGCACTTTCCAAGCCTAAAAATTCAAATTTCTTTTATAAGAGTTCAGTTCAAAAGCTGGGAAATTGTATCTCATAACAGCAAAATTACACACAAAGAAAGAAGCAGCACACTGACTGTTTCAAAGTGTATAAATGTGATTATATACACTGAGGTCATTGGCTGGAATCCTTACTATTGTCAGATTGAAACCTCAATGCTTTGATTTAAAAAACTAAAGGGCTTCGCTTGCGGCAAATGTATCACTGTATATTTTGCTCTCCCTGACAATTGTTATTTAATACTATTTAAGCCTCACCTACATACATCATCCACACTTAAGTAGACAGCCTCTTAAAGCGAAATATATTGCATAAGGGTTAGACAAGCTACAAAGTGAGATTAAAGCACACGTTCCCACGTAAACACTGCCTTCTCACACACGCGCACAGCTAAGCTCCTCCTTCGTTACCCTGGTGTACTCAAACAATCGACAGGAAGGAGAGGGCTCAAATCCTATTAGAGCCGCATCATTACTGTCACAAGGCATTAATCGCTCGAATACACCTGCTATGGACTGCGCCGGCAATAATTATGTAGCAGCACCAATGATTTTAACCGAAACGTTCGTTACTTTATGGTGAAAACCAATGCATGACTCGTGGTACGCCTTTTCTGGGATAAGTGGATCAAGATATCTTACCTGTCACCGGCAGGTGTGGTCGCTGTGTGATGCTGAGGCTGTGGCTAGCTCGCTAGCATGCTAATTAATCTTTATCTGTCATGCCAAGATAATGTACTAGTAGCACCAAAACGTGGTTATACACACGTTAAAACGTGGTAAAGTCGTTGTCGCAACGACGGAAAAGCATTTCTCCCAGACTGCCATAGTAGTGAGCTGTTCTAACTGCGTGGGAAACAACACAGAAGTGTCTTTAAACTACAACAGACCCATCCCTCTCTCCGTAGCGACCATGGAGCGACGCTTTCTCGTATCTAGGCGAGGGCGAGGTCATGTGACACGGGGAAGGACGTAATCGAAAGCGTTCCCTTACAAAATAAAAGTCAGATTTAACATTCGCGATATTTTGTTGCATTTCCGGAGACGTACCGTCCCCCAACTAGAATTCACTTGCATTCAATACATGTGCACACCTTTTCTGGAGACGTTTCCGAGGTGAATTGTAATTCATGTGCACACCACGCCATTGATTGTTTTGTTCTCCCTCCAATGGCTAATCTAATCTATGGCTGGATTAATCCTGCTGGGGGGCATCAGGCAAAAATGAGCTGCTGAGCTTTCCTCCTATTGACCCCCTCTCACGGTGCATTAAAGCATTGGTGATTCAACACAAATACATTCACAAATATGCACTATATGTGAGCACAATACCGCCGGAAATAAAAAATGATGCACAAAGAAAGCAACACCACACTGAATGTTTAAAAGTGTATAATTGCTATTAAATACACTAAGGTCATTGAAGTTAGGAAAATGTGGATAGATGGACCTATTACAAAACAGGGCCTCGACCAGATAATAAAGTAGGACCTAATTTAAGGTTCTTGTCATCAGTTGATATTGTGCTTTAGTAAAGTATGTGCCATACCTTAAAGGGGAGTCTTGACTTTCAGTAGGATTATGCTGCACAGCACATGACAGGTTGAAATGTTACTGACCTGTGGCTGGGTGTCCCTCTACAGAGCTGGTTGGTTGACTTTCATTACGGGCACAGGTTGAATAACTCCCCAAGCTTAAAATCTGGGACGAATCAGCAGGTCCCTGGACAGCTAAAATTAATTCAACTATTTTACAGTTGTTCTTTTCATGTGCTTCATTGTAGCTCAGATTTTTATTAGATAAAGTCAGGAAAGATAAGACAGGCTTTGTTTTAATGAGCTGGATTTAAATAAATACATTACGAGCAATTAGGCACTGGGTCACTGGGATGTCACATTGAAAAGGTCTAAATAGGCCACTTAGTTAGGTTACAATCAGCTCTGTTCAATACCTGTGAGATGTGAGATGACCTGAATTCTAACTTTTTGTTCGCAGCAAATGGTTTATGCGAGTATGACTACAGTGAAACTGTTGAATTAGTTTATGGCAAAATAATGTTGATTCTAACTGACGGTATTACAAAATACCGTCATAGTTAGAATCTTTTATGAAGCCGTTAAAAAGTCCTGAACTTAGCTCTGCAAATATCCATCTGCTAATTAAACAAAGACTTATGAATCCATTTGAATGTTTTAGATAATATACGTACATGGAGTGTGGCTGTTTCCCAAAATAAGAAGCAAAACAGTATCCAGAAATGATTTGTATTGAGTCAGTATTACAGGTGGAACACAGCATGTTACCCACCAAGAAACAAACGTGGCAACACAAAAAAATCTATCTCGTCGGACATAAATGTAGCATAATAAATCGATATCTACAATAAAAAAAGTGTGTATATTTACACGCAAGAGATTTGTATTTATGTAATCCCAGCCAATCTTTTCAGGTACACCCACACAATAAACAATGATCTTATTGTGTATATGTTACAAATATTGTGCGAAACCATGAGTAACACCAAGACTGTCCTGGCTCTTTCAGGCTCTAACAAACACCTGAGACAGCTGTAGTAATACAAACCTCATAACATAGAAACTACAATGGAGTGTATCATTTAAAAAAAAAAAATTCTCCAACACCTTTAGAAATCTGGCTAAAATAATAGTGAAATACTAGTTTTGCTTGGGTTAGGGTTACACAATAATATTAAGTCAACTTTACTTGCAAATGTGTCTTTTTTTCATGCAAAAGAAGAGTCGTTTTTACAAATACTTGTCTTGCTTGATCTATATAATAATATGGTGCAGAAAGCTGTCATAGTAGATCAAGCAGGATATTTTTTATCAGTGAAGTTTTCAGGCAGTCTTTGAACACAAGCCTTTCAACCAAAACCGACCTATAAAGCAGCTCAGCACTCATGCAGCCATAGCTCTAGACCTTAATCTGAATAGGATCCAAATGAGAAATTCAGTTTGGGACCCAGGCTCATTACTGCTCCCATTAGACCTGAGAAGTCCACTGTAGGCTCAAGACCCAGAGCCCCCAGACCCAAAACAAAACAGCTCACACAATAAAGTGTCGACTTATAACATGACTCGACTCACACCTTTCAATACTGACTATGATAGCCAAATGTTTGGTTGTGGAAAATGCAGAAGTAAAAAGCACACTGATTCACCGATAACACTAATGGCTCAGGCGAGAACAGAGGGGATGATCATAATGGAACAACTGTGGATACATGATATGGCCTCTAACATCCATCTATCCATCCATCCACTTATCATTTCATCAGTCTGTAAGTGTGTGGGCCTATTGTTAGAATAATGTGACTAACAAACTGCTGTGTAACTCTCCGGTTTGTTTAAAGGCGTACGGCACAGATGATCTAACAACTACACAGGGTGGATACAATTCAAAGGACACCTGTACGACACAATGGAATCCAACCGCTATACAAATGTATGGAACGTATAACATTAGGATCTATATCTTGAGGTCAATATCAATCCAAAACAATACCACCACAAAACAATGTCAATATATTCACATTTGCTGGACTGCATAGGCCTACAGGTGTTACTGTTTCCACTGCTTTGCTCGTCATGCCATCATCACATCATCACATGTAGCCCAGACTATTGGGACTGTGACGACTCTTCCCACAGAGTCAGCACTAAACCTGACGTTAAGTGTCTATTACGCCCACGCCCACAGAGGTCTGTGTTCAGCTCCTCCATTCATGCACGTGTTCTATTCCACAGGTTGGAGTATAAATACGTCTGTGGCGTTTGTTTGACGTGCCCCCCCACCTCCTTGTCGATGGAAGACCGACGTCACCCCTGCCAGCGGAGGAGTGGATGGCCTCTGTAATACAAATACATGAAGAGAATTGAGGAAAAGGAGAAGATTGGCCGAGGGGAGAAGCAACAACGCGGCGCCTGTTCCTTTTCTTCTCACTCCCGCAGACGAGCCGTGGACGCGAACGCCTTTTAAGACGAACGGGGATATATATTCGGCTGCGACATCGACAGCTCCGGCTGAAATGCCATGTTATGTGTGGCTTTCTTGGCTTTTCTGAGCAGACAGAGAGAGAGATAACTGTACTGTATCCCAGCCTAGCGGATTGGAGTGAAAGTCCGCCATATTCCGCTTTACCACGCCCGGGAGTCGAGCCATTGGGAAATAAACGGACAGCTTTATTCATGGCTTTACCACGTTGCCATCACCCGCGGACGATAACGTGAACACAGGTGGGGGGGGTAGGGAGGGGGGGGGGGATGTGTTGTTTGACAAATAACAACATTGAAGGACTTTGAAGGGAGTGTGGCCGGACACGAATGGCAATGCTTGACGAGATCACACAGAGCAGTGCGGAAGATGCGACTTAAAAGGATCTGTTGATCATATTGAGAAGGAAAAGCAGATTACACCAATTAGGATCGCACGGATATTCAACCCAAACCGCTTTGGACACTATTTTGAAGCTGTCAGGAAGGAAAGCGGACCGAAACTGGGGGAGAGGAGGAGGGGACGGGGGGGGGGGGGGGGGTGGTCAATCATTTCTCCAAATATCTTCATTTTCCTTTCCACCACAACCCGTGCGCTGTTCGGGCTCATTATTAAAAGGCGTCCACGCGTTAATTCACTATAAGTGGGGCCTGTATGAAGACGTTATTTGGCATTCTCTGCTTTTTTGTTTTTCTTCTCACCCCGACGAATCTGAAATCTGAATGAATCGGTAAGAGAGAAGAGAGAAGTGTGCGTTTAAAAAAAAAAAAAAAAAGGAGCGAGAATGACCCTGGAATCCATAATGGCGTGTTGCCTCAGCGAGGAGGCGAAAGAAGCCAGACGGATCAACGACGAGATCGAGAGGCAGCTCCGCCGGGATAAGAGGGACGCACGCCGGGAACTGAAACTGTTGCTTCTCGGTAAGCTCGCCGGGGAGGGAGAGGAGTGGGGCTGAGAGATGCACAGCCCAAATTCCTCACACCATAAATACCTTTGTCGGGCGGGGTTGGGGGTTGGGTGGGGGGGTAATAATGGGGCTTCCCACCTGAGTGAAGTTGGGGAGTGGATGGTTGAAATACCTCGCTGTTGTGAGTCGAGTGCACAGATTGGCAGGTTTAGCGGAGGGAGGAGATGCTGCCCCAGCCAGGCCTGTAGGGCTCCCAGTGTTACAACCGCCTGATTTGAATAACTGCGACCGGTTAGTGTCGAGGAAACTATAACGCTCACCAGTCACCATGGGGCCTCACCTCTTACCTCTCCAACGCATCCACTGACTGGCCTGACGGCAACCTGTGCAGGCAGACCCGGAGGGCCCATCCAGGTGGTGAGCTCGTGAGTGTGTCATACATCGGCTGGGCCAAAGTCTAGCGTTTTATTGGGAGCAATCAAAGCAGTATTGCAGCGCAACACCTAACCCTGGCAGTGATTTTATCACATGTGTCAGTCTGTGGAGCAAGGTTGGAAGCATGTCGACCTATCACGTGTAGAGGCTGGTGTGGTGGTATGCTTATACATCCACCTTTTTATATACATTTGAATCATCAGTGACTTGAAATAGACTCCTAATCACAAAATAACCAGTCACCTGGGCATTGTTACAGTGTGGGGCTGCGATACGGGGCGGTTGGTAATCCTGTCGAGAAGTATTTGTCATACTGGAAAATTTGAGGAAAACAAGTCATCTACTCACCATCACTCGTTAGATTGGCAAAAGTAAAGCCCATTAGTTGTGATGAGCGTGGTCGTGGAGAGCAGTGCCAGAACCCGTTCTTCCTGATCCAGCTCCCTCCTCTCTCAGTGCCTTAGACAATGCATAGAGGAGAAGTGTGGGAGCAGGCTGGGACTTAGGATCACATCATCCAGACTTTCTGAAGAAGGTTTTCGTCTGTTTGGGGATGTTTTAAGAGAGGTTGAAGGAGAAAGGTGTCTCCTTTGCCACCCTGTTAGTACAAAATGATGACATGAATCTCCCTTAACAGGATTTGAAGGGGCTGACTGCCCCCTCCCTTATTAACGGGACAAATAATTGTGTTGTTGTTGTTTTCCTCTAATCTCTTTTAATACCCAACAATTCGCCTATTATGCAAACGGAGAAACAGCCGCTGACCCAAACCAAAGAGTGATGATGTGTAAGTCTGAGGACCTAACTGTACTCCTCATGAGTGTGAGGTATTTGTTCAATGGTTAGTCACTAGTCTTGTGATTTGATGGCCTAAACCAAATGAACGATTGTGATTCATATTCAATATGTATTTTTTTGTGTAGTAGCTGCTTGTCAGTGAGGTCCCATCGATACAGTGTTATATTTCAGTGGTTTAGTAGCGTGCCTCTAATGACAGGAAGCTTACAATTATTGTCTCCGGACATTGAGTTGCAGGGAATATACGATCCATTAAGTAGCAGCATAAAAATGTTCCAGTAATGGTGAACCATTTGTGTGACCTCACACCAACGCACTCGTGGCTGAGCTCACGAAACAATTATGGCTCAATCGACCTCATTAAATACGAGCTTATGCAGTGCTCTGAATTCACATTTGTGTTTTCACACACACACACACACACACTCTGCCGCTCCTTCTACTAGTTAACCAGAGGAAGTTGTGCATGCTCCATATGGCTCCAAATGGCTCCATTAGCTATCCGTGTTTTGTGGGTTATCAAGCTCACTAATTGCTCAACGTCCCGTGGGATCTAGCGCAAAACTCGCCGTCAAGTTTAGAACTTTCTCAATTCTTCAAAATGTCCAACGCTTGTTTTTTTTTGTTTTTTACAAATCATCGTGGCTTTTTTCACTTATAGTCTTTCAAACACACTGATTGCTTTAAATCCACAGAGACCGGCTACATTGAAGCCACACACCACAACAAATGAGCAAGTTAAAGAACATTGCAAGCATTTTAATCCATCCTCCGTGCATCTAATAGCCATTAAGGCGTTGTAAAATAATAATGGAGATGTTCTGAAATTGTCGCTGATTTAACCTGGGCAGATGACCAAGAATACAAAACTAGGAACAGAGTGGAAGCAGCAGATAGTGTAATGCTTAGGAGCTGTCTGGCACACACACACACACACACACACACACACACACACACACACACACACACACACACACACACACACACACACACACACACACACACACAAAGCCAGCTAATGAGTCAGAGACACTAAAGGATTCACTGAGATAGGTGACTCAGGAAAATTCCAGCTAAAATCGATGTCCGAATGAGGCGGGGCATCTCAGCAAGTACCAGCTGCTGAAATTGATCTCTTCCAGCATGAACATAAACGCATTCATTGTAAATTAAATCACTGTTATAATCCATTAGAACTGCTCGGACCTCTCAGTGTTTACAAGGAAAGAAAACACAGCTCAGTCTTTTTTATTCCCACCTGTTTGTGCTCAAAACGTCATGTTAAGCCACAAGGCATACAGCTTTTCCACACGATGTACTGTACTAATAACATTGATAATGTATCATTACTGTTCTTATTATTTATGCCACCTGTGCTTTACTTAAAAGGTTTAAATCATTTGGGAACAATAAGGCTAAAAGTTAACAAGAATTATTCCCAAAGCAAAAGAAACATGCTAGCCAGGGTAAGATATAGCTGATTAAGTTAATCGTAAGAGGCTAACAGCCGAAGTGTACCTCAACAGCAGTCAGATCAGATCATAGCTGGTCCCAACACACAAAGTTACATTTTGTCAGAGTAAAGTGGAGCATAATAATAACATCAAGATCTGGACAACAGTCGAGTAGGTGCCGTCTGCATGTTTAGAATTGTCTTTAGGGCGGAAGTCGGCACAAGTGAACTCTCTTGTTGTCCAATCAAGGCTCATCGAGTGAGCCGCTCCTCTTCTGGAGGAGGAGTGGGCAATGCTTAGAGGGCACTTGACTAGTTGTTGAGATAAAGAAGAGCACTTCTCCTTCACTTGCCAAACTTTGTATACATGTGCAGGCAGCGGGGGCATTTTGTTTATTTGGTCAGCAAGACATTATGAGGGGAACGATGGTGAGTTAGACATACCAGTAGAATGAGATTGTTTTCTGTTGCTCTTTGTTTTTTTTGCTGAGAGTGAACTTGTCCTCTTTAGGCATGACATTAGGTCTGGAGACATGAAGGTGGAAGAAGGCTCCGTTACATTAGCTGAGATTCCAAACATGTGCAGTCATGGGAAGTTCAAGATGAATGGAGAGGAGAGGACAGCAGCAGCTTAGCCTAGGAATGGCGACATAGCGGCTGGAGACCAGAATGAAATAGAGAATTCGTTTTTGTTGTTTTATTGTTGCACATTAGCTACAAATTGCATATATTTAGCTGCTGACCATCCTCCAGATGTATGATTTAATCTATCTTCCATGCTGCCAACCTTTCAGTTGGTTTTGTTTAAAAGGACTTTCTGTAGATACCCCCTAATGAATCATATCAAATATTGTGTCATCTTTATCGAGTTAAGTTCAGCTCATCTTATCGTTGTTACAAGAGAAGTTATTGGAGCTCGTTTTTGGTGAGCTCATCGTGCAACAGGAGATAAAGGCTGCTCTGACATCTAAAACTAGCTGTGATAACTATGATCAACCACTAAAGTCCCTTGATCCTGAAAGAGCACATGCACAGTGCAGGGTCTCCTAGGATGGAGGCTTATTATTATTTATTCAAAGGTATATTCTCAAAGTGAACTGAGATATTGTTTTATGCCCACGGAGGCCAAACCTGTTTAAATACCATTGAACCTGTTTAACTACCTCGACTGTCACCTGTACTGAAGTAAGAAGGATTTTAGTCAATTAGTCCATCGATAGAAAATCAACCTTTTTTGGTTATCGTTGCCTTGGTCTCTAGTAAAGTTTAATGTAAGTTTGTCACCATTTTCTGACATGTTATCAAAATGATTAATCAAGTAAATAACCTGCTTAGATTAATAAAAATGGAAACGTATCTACAGTTGGTGCCCTTCATTTGTATTAGTCTGAAACGACATGTTTACAGTCCGAAGGGTTAACATGGATAATTATCAGGCTCGTCTCCGTCTGCTAAATTGATTAAAAACTGCTCAATTACAAAAGTGGCACAGCCCAGCTCCGATCCTCAAGAGACAGTAGGACCTAGTTTCTGATGCCTGGCCCCCTTTACACACTCGCACACGCTCACAGGACATAAAGTGAACAAAGTCGTTTTGTTGCCGAAACCTAGTAAAGTTGTTTTGTAGCGTTTTTGCTATGTTTTGTTCATTAACCAGTGTTATAACAGTTTAAAACTGCGACCATTTCGTCCGGAAGAAAATGTTTTTCCCTCAAAACATAGTTGAGGGTGCACTTTAGCTGTATGGGGAAATCATTTTACAGGACACAGGGGGCACAGTTAGATAACTCTTTAAATCATTTCAGCATTACAACACATTTTAAACTGCACGTTTTGACTCTCAAATCTTTTGCAAATCGTCTCTCAAAAAACGTTTGCAAAAGTGTCGATCTACTCAGTCACCGTCAGCTGCTTTTATCGGACAAATGAAAGCTGTTGGTTCCTTTTCAAGGCTACGACTCAACAAAGTCCACCGCAACGTTTAACAAGCTTTTAACAAACACATGGTTGCAATTGTGAGAGGAAGCACTGAAGACGTCATATGATTCTTGTATGAATGCAGCCAAGTTAACAGTGCAGCTATACAAAGTGCAGAATTAAAGAGGAAAACTTACAATAGGATACACTTCCACTATAGCGGGTCAAAGTACATAGTAACGCAGTTCAATTCTAAACCTAGTATCTGTATTTTCAACAGTATAATCTGGGTCTTGCATGGCATTGACATGATATAAACGGCATCTTTTTCACACTTATGATTGCGTCTGTTTTTTTTTCTCAAATTCACGTTTGTCTTGAGATTTTCTCTTGCTGGCCTCAGGCTGCCTGTCACAAACACTGAATATTTTCGACACTCACGGGAGTGAGTTTCTTTGAGAAATTGAAAACCAAAACATGCTCCTCAGAGTCGAGAACAGAGTCGTCAACTTTCAATTTATGAAAGTGCAAAAACTCAAAATCATGTTCATGTCATTAAGATGGAGAGGAGCAAAATGAGTGGTTGGTAGCGTAATGTTCCGGCTTAATATACGAATGTGATACTAAATCTATTGTTACCATATAAAATAGTTCATAATCAGGACCAAGCCGTGTGTGACCCCTTAAATGTTAGAAGAGGAAGCAGGTCCATGTATGTTGACAAAGGGTAAATCTGAGTAATACTGTGTTTTCTAGATCTGGATACTACCGACCGTAGTTAAAGACTAAAACATTAGTGAAAGTGAACGTGGTACTAGGGCCTCCCTCTGCTCTGCGTTCTCTCCTTGAGGCGATGCTTCGCTCTCAGTGGTGAATTAATTTCCTCTTCTTCACTCATGCATTTTTTATTGTGATGATCAAGCATCGTATCGGCTGTTCTTGCATCCTTTGGTTTAATAAGTCAGCTGCAGGCGTCTCTGTGCAGAGCCAACAATGATGCCGTGGTGTCTTGAGGCCAACGGAAAACATCCTTTCTGATTGGAGGAAGCTTCAATATGTGCTATGTTTGTTCTACCATCTGAAGTTTGGACAGCGTAGGTTGTGAATAGTTGGCCTCTCACAGTCAAGTTTGAAATGTCCAGAGTGTTACACGAGTGATTGAATGCACCGCACACAGACACAGACACAGAGCAGCCTGCCTTCTTTTTTTGTCCCTCCTTTGCTGCTACTGAGTTGGACTATGTTAACGAGTCCTGGGGCCAATCAGACACACTCACCTCAGACGTAATGTCGACCATTCATGCCGACCTCAGACACGGGGTTGATCCTGGGTCACTGCATTGGTTTGAAAGGTGACTCAGCAGCCTCCAATGGCCAGCCCAAACTCATACTCATACGTCTCTTCTTCTTTCTCAATGTCTCGTTGGTGCTATAGAGAAGATTCATCCATCTATGGATGAATTCATGAGCCACTCGCATTCCTCTTCTTGTGTGAGGGCATCAGGTTTGAAGAGCCACGAGGAGATCGGAACTGTGCCACAGAAGAGCAACCCAGATCTTTTGTGCCATTCAAACCCAGAACCCACTGGCATTTAATTTAAGTTTTTTTTTTTAGATTACTCACTGTTCCACTTTGTCTGTTTGAAGAATAGAATGTGTCCATTTTTAGGGTGGATGCCGTGAGGCATTAACTCTGGTGCAACACTATTTGTGGCAACAACTACTACTTGTCATTGAGGTTAATGTAATAGTTAATTATAGGTGAACAGAGTGTGTGGTTATAGAGCAGCTGGTGACAAGTCTCACCCACCCTTTGGTGCTACAAGGTGAGTATTTTAAAGTGCACCAAAGGATAACGGTTACATTGTGAACAATGTCGTATATTTAGCAACAGCTTTTGTGTACATGGTAGCATTTCCTCTCTGCTTCATGCACCTTACAACATTCATTTGTATTTTTTAGGATTAAGTGCTTGGCTCTAGAGCACTTCAAGTGTAACTTTGCTAACTCCTGTGTTGTTATTCCTGCCTTTCCTGCTCATTCCAGGCCTCTAAATTGGCAACCCTACAACAGTACTCTGGAGGTTATAGTATGTCAGTGTTTAGTCTTTAGCGTGGTTTTTGTTAAGTGCTTGGTCCGTGTTGTGGGCGTACAGTAGAGAGGCTTATTTGGCTAAAATAGAGTTTATATTATGCAATATAAAGGAGTTCCACGCTTCCAGACTTTTGTAACAGAAACTTTAGGTCACACTGAAATGCAAAACACACACATACGCTCCTTCCTGCCAAAGTTATTCAAGAGTTGGTGGTGAGGTAAAGTTAGACCTTTCAGGTGGTCTGCCAAGACTCTCAATGAACCAAAGAGAAATTACACCCCCCAGCTCCTCACACCCAAATAGTCCCTGTCACCACGGAGAGGAGAGAGATGTTGTTCTTGGTCTGCCACCAGACCAAGCAAACAGGCTGAGAGGGAAGCAGCCAGCACATAGCATTAGATGTGTGGCTGACTGACGGAGGGAGTACATACTGTACGACTATTTTGCATGTGCTGTACATCTGTGTGTATTAATGTGTGTGTGCAAATGTTTCTCACCAGACAGGATGTTGTGTTACGAAAAGCCAAGATTCAGCTATGTTCCCCCTCAGGAAACGTCCTCGCATTTACATTTTTAAATGTTTTAGAATTACTTTCTTTCCAAAATTAAGCCAAATCTACATTTTGACTTAACTTTAAAGCTCTTTAATTCACATTTCTATATTAACAATGGCTCAAATGACTGTGTAATGTAAAAAGGGTTGTTCAAAGTGATGAACCCAGAGAGAATTATCACTCAACTCTAATTAACTAACTAAATACTATTTTTGTGATAATCCAACTTTTGTCATGTTGTAGCGGTTTCTGTTTTGCTCATAGGGGTCCAGGAAAGTCAAAAATGACTGGATGTCCTTTTAAGGAACGTGAACGCTGACACAAGACATTACATGTTTTGTCTGGTTAAAAAAAGAAAATCCTGTGCAAACCTACAGAATAATCAAACTCAGTGTATTTGTTCCCTTTTCCCTTTTGTTTTTCTTTTCAGGCACTGGGGAAAGTGGAAAGAGCACATTCATCAAACAGATGAGGATTATCCACGGCACCGGTTACTCTGACGAGGACAAAAGGAGTTTCACCAAACTGGTCTATCAGAACATCTTCACAGCCATCCAGGCCATGGTCAGAGCCTCAGAGACGCTCAAGGTCCCCTACAAATATGAGCACAACAAGGTAAATGAGATGCTTTCACCCAAGCCATTTCAAATTCCTCAACTGAAATGACGACGCTAGAAAAGTGGCCGCAGCGTGCTTGTATATTTTTAGAGTGCTGTCTATCTTATTTGGAACAGCCATCCTTAATCGTTTCCGGTCCTTTATGACACTTCCTGTGTCCTTAAAGCACTCCAGCCCTCCATCGCACCCTGTGTGTGTATTTGTGTTTGCCTGTGTGTGTGTTTCACTGCACTCAAATTCATGAGTGCATATACAGTAACACAAATGCACAAGAGAGAACTAGCCTAAGCTACTCTCATCATTACTTCAGCAGGTCATTTCTTTTTTTCCACCTTTTTTCACCCTGGTAGAGTAATCATAGCTTTGGGAGCTGATACAGTAACCTCTCGCTCGCAGTTTATTCCCTGTGAGAGTGACAAATAAGAAGCGGTGGAGCATCATTACCTCTTCAACCCTTTTTTTATTTATTTTTATAAATCAGTTCATGTGAGGTGACAGCTGACCACGCTGCTTCCGCTCCATCCTGCCTGGCTACTGTTTAGTCAGACGTTGCTTGCTGAAAGGTTTGGCAGAGATTTGGTTACGAGGGGTTGATAAATTATTTAGTAGATTTCAGTGTGATATCCTGAAGTCGGAGCATAATCCTGGGATAAGTATCAGGACCCAGTAAGAGTTTTATTGATAATGCACTGGAAAAAGGGAGGATAAAAATATAGTATTCAAGGTGATATTTGATGTTGTGGAACTCACATTTTATCAGCATTGCCATATCTATAAACATAAATCAACAGGTAGACCAGTCGCCATTGGCTGCAATTCATTTCATAACAAAAGCTAGTTTGTCTTCAGTTTTAAGTATTTGGGGATGTATTTGTACCTTATCGGCAGATTGCCGATGTCGCCACGTGTTGGTTGCGTTTCTACGACTGTATATCTGACTTTATGTTGACAGTTTACTAACAACTTTTAGTCGCAACACCTTTTATCTTTTCAACGTTGAGATTTTGTGAAAGAAGACTGAGCTTGACACCGTCAGCGTTGAGATTTTAAAATGACACAACAACTTGTATTGAACTTGAGCAGGCGCTTTCTGAATCTCGGCTGTTGTGGTGGATCACCATTGTCCATGTTAGTCGCTGCTTCCTGTCCCACATGTGCACACGAACAATGAAACTGAATGTGCTGTTTCAGCTCAGCCATTTCAACATTGTTTTACCCACTTTGAAGACAATACAAACCCAGAAAATCCCTCAAATATGATGAGTAAAAAATGATACTTCTTCATTAAGAAAATGAAAAATGACAGTTTGTCCTACATCTCGCTATACAGATATTCCAGTTTACCACCGGCTCCTTCATACTTTATAATCCAGTATCTGGAACAAATGGCTGTTGTGGGGTTAGTGTGCTTACACATATAGATTTTGTACGAGACATTCAGTACTGAGAATACTATACAATAATAGTATTGTGCCATGAACGTACGGCAAACAACAACGTTTATGATGAAATCAAAGTTATGTTCTACAGCAGAACCACTGAATGCCTTTCAACATCCCTCTGCTCTCATATACATATGGCTAAAATGGGAAGTACTGTACCTCTGACAAAGGCGTTCACTGACATCGCAAAGGAAGTGAAAATGAAACTTTTCTATCATTGTTACACTGTCTGTCTGGGCACTTATAGTAAATGTCATGATTTGACTTGTAGGCTAATCATAAAACCCATGAAAGTAGCATCTATTGGATACCTGTTTTGTCTTCTATGTCACCTTACTTTTATTATATTCTGTTGTGTTAATAGTTAGTGCAGTATGCAAAAGAGGAGCAGTTTCACATGCAGGTACATGTTGATCTCTTGTCATGGGACACAGGGGAGCTTAATTAGGGAACTGGGGCAGCGCAACTTTCCCCTTAACAGCCCCGATGGGATTGAGCTTCAGATATTAGGTCCATGTGGAGCCTGTGGGTGTAAAGTCATTTCTGGATATAGAATACGTGAGTGTTGTCTTACATCATTGGGGGGGGGGGGTGCTCCTACAATCACAAGGTTGTCTCGTCGATCCTTTAAAGTTAAGTATTACTTTTTGTCTGGTGTCGGTAAATAAGATGTGTCTCAGTAAATCATGGCAGTTATTCTCTCTGTTTCTTCACTCCAGGGCAACGCAAACGTCGTGAGAGAGGTGGACGTAGAAAAGGTCTGCATGTTTGAGAATCCTTATGTAGACGCAATCAAGAGCTTATGGAACGACCCGGGCATCCAGGAGTGCTACGATCGAAGGAGGGAATACCAACTCTCAGACTCCACTAAATAGTGAGTAGACTGGTATAGATTGAATTTGAGGCTTATAAGAAGTCTCAGGCAAAGGGGTTGTATTTTGGATGGTTTCCGTGATGACAAATACTCTCCCTGGTCCCTTTCCCCTCTCTGTGACTGTAGTTACATGAACGCGTTGGACCGGATCTCAGAGCCAGCCTACCTTCCCACCCAGCAGGATGTGTTGAGGGTTCGAGTCCCCACCACGGGCATCATTGAGTATCCGTTTGACCTGCAGAGTGTCATATTCAGGTGAGGAAAGAAATATATTCAGGATCAGAAAACATAAATAACATTTTGAACATAACACAGACTGTATACATATAGACGGACGACGCTTCTCCACCTCCTCCCACTTTATAAAAGTGAAGTGAAAATATCCCGGTTGTGATTGGGGGGGATTGGAGCCACAACAGGGGTCTATCTGCAGCTACACGACACACCCACTTTACCACACGCCCCCTGAGATAACTTCAGGGATTAACGTACTTATTTTAACCCAAACACGATGCTTTCCTATTCTAACCAAGTCATTTATGTGGCTCAACCCCTCAAAATGTGTCGAGAAGAGATTCACACAGATTTGCAAACCTTTGGCTCATAGTGACTGTTTTCTCTCTCCTGGGGGCTGCTGCCGTGACAGGATGGTGGATGTCGGAGGTCAGAGGTCGGAGAGGAGGAAGTGGATCCACTGCTTTGAGAACGTCACATCCATCATGTTCCTGGTGGCGCTCAGCGAGTACGACCAAGCTTTGGTGGAATCGGACAATGAGGTGAATGATACAAACATGTGCACACAAAACACTAAGCGATTCAATTTCAAAGTTTTTGTGATGCTTAGTTTCACACGGTCAAACCAACTTCATCCACTCAAACGCTTTATTATTTCATGCGATGTCCAAGATGAAAAGCTATTCCTTATTTAAAACAATGGAAATCAGACTCTCCTCCTGCCTGGCCGCGCTCCACCTTTTCTTTTTCCCTTGGAAAGCATTTGTAAATGATCAGCCAGCTGATTTGAATACCGCCTCTGGTCGCATCTCCTCCTTAAGAGGATATAGCATGTGTGTCAGTCTGTTGAAGTGTATTAATGAGCAGGTGTGTCTTCATATGTGTGTTGTCTGTATTTGCTTCCTTTGTCACCTGCAAACTGCAGAAAGAGGCGAAGACTGACCAGCTGCCTGTGCTCTGTCTTTTGATGTAATTAGATTAGTTTTTATAATTACACAGGGGATATTCTGTTTAGCACTCTCAACACACTGCACTGTCAGCGATGTGATATCTAAGGCTTGCTTTCAGAACGGTTGTTTTGTTCAATTAAACACGGGAATCAAGTGCAAGGGAGAAATTAAACTCTCGAAGACGATATGGCCGCCTCTCTCTCAGTGTTACTGCTCTCCCTCTGGTGCGGTAAAACGTTTATTAAAATCGGTAGTTAATGAGAGTGAAAAACTGTGGTTTAATTAAGTGATTAACTCTCTCTCTCTCTCTCTCTCTCTCTCTCTCTCTCTCTCTCTCTCTC